CATTTGATGATATTCACCTCTATATGACCCCTGAGATCCTGCAAAATACTAGCAATGGTTAAAGAAATCCTCCCACCTTGTTTTGTCCCGCAATGGCTTACTGCAAGGAACCATTCTTCACCATATGACTTAAATAAGACTTATGAATGCTCTGTTTACCTATAACGTGGCCACGTATCAAATGCTGTACTTTAAATGTGTTTCACAGTTCAGCACCCATTGTTCAGTGGTTAGGGCATCAGCCACATACACCAGGGCTGGCGGCTTTGAATCCAGCCTGGGCCCACTAAATAATGACAACTACAACAAAACAGACAAACAAACAAACAAACAAACAAAAAATAGCCAGGCGTGGTGGTAGACACCTGTAGTCCCAGCTACTTGGAAGGCTGAGGCAAAAGAATTGCTTAAGCCAAAGAGTTTGAGGTTGTTGTGAGCTGTAACTCCACAGCACTCTACTGACAGTGACAGAGTGACACTCTGTCTCAAAGAAAAATAAATACGTGTTTTATGTTTAGTATACATTTTGACGGTAGAGGCAACTGAGTTTGTCAATTTGTTTTTGAACTAGAGGTGGGATGTGAGAGAAAATGAAATCAGGGATGGTTTCAAGGTTATCAAGGTGGTCTGAATTTCTAGTAGAACAGGGTTCCTCACTGAGGCAGGGAAAACTGGGAGTAGGTTGTTTGGGGTGAAGGTGAAGAATAGGAGACCTTTTTCTCTTGTCAGTGAAGGAATTTAAAAAGTAACTTGTGCCAAGATATTGAAAACTGCAGGCTCGGCCCCTGTGGCTCAAGCGGCTAAGGTGCCAGCCACGTACACCTGAGCTGGCGGTTTGAATCCAGCCCAGGCCCACCAAACAACTATGACGGCTGCAACCAAAAAATAGCCGGGCATTGTGGTGGGTGCCTGTAATCCCAGCTACTAGGGAGGTGGAGGCAGGAGACTTACTTGAGCCCAGGTGTTGGAGGTTGCTGTGAGCTGTGATGCCATGGCACTCTACCCAGGGCGACGGCTTGAGGTTCTGTCTCAAAAAAAAAGAAAACTTCAAATGTTAATGCTCCAGACAGTGACTTGTACTTTGGAAGAGGCAGGTTGGAACTTCTTCAACTGGAAAGAGCAAAAGTAAAGCAAGCTTTCTCTTTGATGTCTTATGACATACAACACTAAGAATTTTCTCTAAGGAAAGTTCACTGTCTGAGGTTCTCTCCCAATTTCCTCCACAACAAAGCTCTGGAGACTTTCCAATAATATCTCAACAGCTAGAAAATAGTACCTACAGAGAAATAGAAAATGGAAAATGCTTCTCTTCACCCAAATATTTTCATGGTTAGTATTCATGATAGTTAAGAACAATTATTGGTAACTTAAAAATAAGTTAAAAGCAGGAACACAGGGATGGCCTGCCATTTTTCTTTGCCAGACTTGAACTTCAGCTCTAGATTTGTTTATGTGTCTTCACCTTGGGCACCTCCATGTAACTGTTTCTACCCATATCCTAGAGAAATGTGTGCATATCTATACCAGGAAACACGTAAGGAAATTCACATAAGTAATGATCCAAATAATCCCAGATAGACACAGCATGGATGTCTATCATGATAAATTGAATAAAATAATGTCACTATTCAGCAATTAAAAACAGTAATATTGGAGTAATATATATGAACATGAATGACTCTTACCCACATCAGTTTAAAATGAAAACTATGTACAGTTTATGATTCCATTTATACATAGATAAAAATAGGCAAACAAGGTGCAATTTATGGATCTATACTTAGATGATGAAACCATAAAGAATAACAAAATGTCATAGGGTAATGGTTTATATCTTGGTGTGTACGTGGGTAGGAGAACAGATGGAACTGGAGAGAGTTATACAAGGCCTAGTGTCAACCAAAAAGAGTCAGAAAATTGATAAATTTAATAGAAGAGCTTTGTTTATAATGGGGCTAGACCCATAGGCAGGAAACTATGAGCTAAATAGAAGTGCAGTGTTTCATGGGGGAGGAAGGAGAGGTAAGACTGTACCAGCGTGGCTGGTATGCATAGTCAACATGATATAGGAGGGGGTCATGAGTCTTCATGAAGGAAACTGGGACACAAGCACATTAGTTTTACATGCATGAAACATACAGAAACATACCTCTCATGTTGACTGTGGGTTAGAGATTTAGCATCTAAACGCATTATAATTAGGTCCTGTACATTAGAAGGTAAAATGTAAGGCACAGGACCACATTCTGCATAGCCTCAGAAGACTGATCAAAACGAGTCCATGGCCCACAGTCATTTATCAAGAAGAAATTCTTCATGTTGTTTTATCATAACCATGAAGACAGCAGGAGGGCATCCAGTGGTCTAATGAGGTAATAATAGTTTTCTGGCCTTCTGTTCTTCCAAACTGGCTTTTGAGACTATTTAGTAAGGATTAGTACAGGAGGTAGAAGCAAATGAGACATGACTAACTTCTGTCATGCATGGCCAGCAACTTAAAAATACAGGAGTCCTTTAGCCCAAGGAATGTCCATTAGTCTGTTGGAGGAATTTAAAACATAATTTTGGTCCTTACTATAATAGTAAGATACCAATGGAAATCTAGTTCTTAAGCTGGACTTTTAAATACTAGGCATTTATTTTATAATACTTATTTTTTAAAAAATAATTATTGCTCTTTTTTATAAGGATTTACGCATAAGCCCTTTTATACATGTATGGAAGTAATATTTTACTGTAAAAGTTCAGAAATATTTTCAATCAGGCATCAGAAATCTCAGGGTCACTCAGATTCTTGTCAAAAACAAAGAAAACTTGTAATTTTTTTCTTTGTCTACATGCCACATCACCATTTTTATGCAAATAGATGAAAAAGTGTAGCAATTCTAAAGCCTTAAGCAAGGATTTTAAAAATCACAAATGGCAATGTTACTTCATTAAAATCAGTTCTGAGTGTCAATTCTATCTTATCCAGTTGGACATTTGATATGTGTAGTTTAAGATGTAGTTAAGGAGCTTGATGTATGTTTCTTTTTTTTTTTTTTTTTTTGTAGTTACAGATCGTATCATTGGACCCATCTCTCTATGGTTCTCTTTGTGTATGTATATTTGGTGTCATTCCGAGATATCCTCTTTAGGCAAATTTCTTTCTTTTCTTACCCTACTCTTCCTCTCTATCTCTCCATTATGTCATTTTCTCCCCCTCTTAACTTTGCTGCTTTTCCTTTAGTCCAGTTTTAATTTTCTGTCTCATGTGTCATTCTATGCTTTCTCTATTGATGAGGTATATAATTTTTTTCATTTTTAACAAATTCTTATAGTAATTAAGAAAATGTTCTATGTCTTTTGTTTTTTAAACAAGAAGAAAAAGAAGCATTTCTCTCTTGTTAACTTGGTTCACCACGGCAGCAGAAGTTCATCCTCCAGTTGAAGGCTCCCAGGCTCATTCAGACTGTAGCCTGTGAGTTGTTTTTCTTATCTGTGGCTTCTGATAGCAAAAATTATGGACAGACTATTTTTTTCCTCATTAATTTTTGTTAGTGTCTGTGTATTTAAAGTGTGGCCCAAGACAACTCTTCTTCTTCCAAGGTGAGGTGTGGCAGAGGAGATAAAAACAAAAAAGTTGGACGCCCATGTCTGCCTAAATCATCAAATCATCATTTTAAGTTGATGGGATCAGATGTGATTTAGGGGGCAAGACTTGTGCCTTGGAGGCTTGAATTTCCATTTCTGTAAAATGGGAGAAAACTTAGTATTCATCACGTAGGGTTTTTAGAAATCAATGAATAGAAATGAAGTATGTTAGCTATTATTCTGAGCATTGCTACGTTGGCTAAATTGGTAATAAGGAAGAAACACACATTGAATAGGTCTTTGGAAGCTTTCCTTCTCATCACCGAAGTGAGCAAAAAAACTACTCTGTGAAATAAAGATAAGTAATAATAACTTCAGTAGTGTGCTTTTGTTAAGCATTGTTTAGTCACAGGGTGGAAAGGTGTGCAGGTGCCTTTTTGCCTGTAGGGTTATTGTTGGGGGAAGCATATGGAGAGGGTGAAGTGAAGGTTTGAAAAAAGAACAAATTTAGGGTGGTGCCTGTGGCTCAAAGGGGTAGGATGCTGGCCTCAGATACAGGAGGTGGTAGGTTCAAACCCATCCCCAGCCAGAAACTGTAAAAAAAAAAAAAAAAAATTTAAGGAAACCTCCATCTTTGCAAAAGCAAATACAAGAATGGAAAAACTAACTAAGAAGCTGGTTTTATAGCCAAAAATAAAGTGGTTAAACACTAGGGTTTACCATTTTAGGATTTTTTTAAAATCTTTTCACTAGTTAGACTGAAGAACTATTTATTTCTTATCCATGCTCTGTGGCTAAACTAAATGTGTTTCGCTTTTTCCAGTAGGAAGGATTATAGTCATATTGGATAATGAATTATTTTCTGTCTTTCACCCGTTAAGCAATGTTACTTTGCTTTTTGTGTGAAGTATTCCCCCCTGCCCTTTATTTTCACGACACATTTGTGCACTCTGAACATACTGGAAAGCAGTGTCCCAGAGACTAGGTGATTCCAAGTCGCTTAATTCTCAATTCTCATCCCTGGGTTTAGAATTCAACTACATTCAAATTATAATGACATAGTTCTTCCCTAAGATTCTAAACAGCCCTCGTCCATGAGCTTCGTCTCCCTGGAATTTCAAAACAGGAGAGAGGAATTGTAATTTTTAAAATAAAGAAACTAATCCGAATTATTTGGACATAAAGGAACTTGTTAAAATGTTTGTTAAGCTGAAGAAATTAGCGGGTTTGCTGGATAAACTGCTCTTAGAATATGACCAATAGGAGAAAAGGATTAGACTCATTTATTTGCATGCAGACTTACGGCAAAAGAACCAATCAGAACTTGACAAACTAAATCTTTATTTACATAATGCTCTCTACAAATATCCAGGATCGTAAGCAGCAGACTTTATTTTCCTATTTTTCTCGCCGGATTCAAGTTAACTATGCCTGAGCCAGCTAAGTCCGCTTCTGCCCCGAAGAAGGGCTCCAAGAAGGCGGTGACCAAGGCGCAGAAGAAGGACGGCAAGAAGCGTAAACGCAGCCGCAAGGAGAGTTACTCGGTGTATGTGTATAAGGTGCTGAAACAAGTTCATCCAGACACCGGTATTTCATCCAAGGCTATGGGCATTATGAATTCCTTCGTCAATGACATTTTTGAGCGCATCGCGGGTGAAGCCTCTCGCCTAGCACACTATAACAAGCGATCGACCATTACTTCCAGGGAGATCCAGACTGCTGTGCGCCTGCTGCTGCCTGGAGAGCTGGCCAAGCATGCTGTGTCGGAAGGCACCAAGGCTGTTACCAAGTATACTAGTTCTAAGTAAATGTGTCCCACGCATTCTCAAACTCAAAGGCTCTTTTCAGAGCCCCTTCACATTTTTACAATTGTAGCTGTGCACTAACTTGTAAGCTTAGGTGCATATTTATAAAGGGCAACACCCAAAGCTTTATTAGTGTTATTGGCACGCTAGCTACTTAGTGTCAAAGCAAGCCTGATTTGTACAAAGGCTTTCCAGCTGTGTAAGGGAGCTTGCGTTGAAATTGTTAATCCCTCAGGCAATTTGATCTTCTGGAAAAACAGGCCTTAATGTGAGTTAGAGGCAGCCGCCTTATTAAAGTTCTGGTCTCCTTTCACCTTATATGTAAGGCTACGGTACCGTTTCGAAAATCTTCACCGTGAAAAACGTTTTCTTTGGCTAGCTGCCCACGCCCAAGTTTTCATTTTGCCCTGCCCCAAAATTCTTCATGCTGTTTGGAGTCGAGAAGTTGTATAGAAACATTTTAGGGAGAAATTAAGCATTAATTTGCCTTTCTTTTTTTTATTTTAGACTCACCCTCTGCAGGGGCAACCTCAAACTCTTAATTGAGTTCAAGCAATTCACTCGCCTCAGCTTCCCAAGTAGTTGGGACTACAGGCGGCATGCCACAACGCCCGGCTAGTTTTAGAGACAGGGGTGGGGTGGGGTGGTGGGGGGTCGCGGGGGAGGGTTCTCGCTCTGGCTCCAGCTGGTCTCAAAACTAAGCTCAGGGCAATCCTCTCGCCTGGGCCTCCAGAAGTGCTGGGATTACAGCACCGTACCTGGCGTTTATTTCTTGGTAAACAATTTAGAAGGCCCTCACTAGATTTTTGCTTTTAAGATCTAAAGGGAAAGGCAAAAATCCTCTCGACTTTCCTGCCCCACACTCACCCTACATCAGTTCACAAATTAGATCTGCGTCAACAATATTCTCAGGTAAGTAGGTGAAGAAAGCTTGGTTGGGACATTTCACTTTTAAGGAGTAATACCAAATGCACCCAAGAATCACTATCATTCTCCTATGGAGGCCCCTTGAAGAAGTGTTTCTAGGCACCCTTCCCTGTCAGTTTATTCTCTCATCAAGGTAAGATAGAAAAAAGTATTTACTTTTAGCTTACCAAAGTACAGCTGCATTTCAACCTTGTCTGCTCACCTTTATATTAGTCTGAGATAATATAGTGAATCCAGTTTTCATTCTAGAGTTCACAGGGGTCTTCTTAAAAGCACATTTGATCATGTATTATTGTAACTGCTCAGAATCTTTCTATGATTCCCTGCTGCTCTTAACAAAAAAAATTAGCAATCTCTGCTATGGCATGGCCTCAATATGCAACTCTTGTCTTTCACTTTACTTTCCAATGAAACATCAGATTACTCTCTCTCTCTCCTTTTTCTCTCTTTCTTTCTGTCTTTCTTTTTCTTCCTTTTTTCTTCTGTTTTTGGTTTTGCTTTTCCGGTTTTTAGAATTCCCCAAAACCTTTCCAGCTTCCAGATCTTTGCAATTTTTCTCTGCCTGACGTGTTCCTAGTCGTACGTCTCTACCCAACATGTGTGCATGTGCAAACACACACAATGTTTACTGATCAACAAATGCCATCACACCTTAATCACCAAATTCTTAGAGAAGGTGGTCTTCAGTGTAATGGATTCCCCCAAAGAGATGACTATATATTCAGTCCCAAATCAACATTAGTAAGGAGCATGAGATGGTATGATCAAATCACAATCAGATTCCTTATGCTGGGAGAACTCTAACTTTCCTGTAGCCCAAGGCAGATAGCAAGGAAATACCTAAACAAAATCAAAGTTATAATTTTAAGGAAGTAGGAAAAATGCCTTTTAGGGAGGGACTTGCTCTGCCTGACACAAGGACATTCCAGGCAGACAGAAGGAACACACACTAGGTTGAGAATGGATAGCCATTCATTCAAGTTCAGGTGCCAACCAGTGACTTTAGTGGGGATATGGAACAGTGGCTCTCAAACTTGAGTGTGCATCAGAATCACCTGGAGAGTTTCTTAAAGGACAGATTACTGGTCCTCAACCCAAAGTTTCTGCATCATTAGCTCTTGTGTGGGATCTAGGAACTTGCCTTTCTTAAAAGTTCCCAGGAAATACAGATGCTGATTGATGGACAATGTTTTGAGAATGTCTGATATGAAGAAGAACAAACTAACCAAGGGCCTTGAACATGTGGAACTTACCTTGTAGTACAGATGTGGTTACAACAATGTAGCCTTTTGAAGGGCCTGAATGTCAAATAGTGAAGTGTAGATCTATTTTCTAGATGATAAAAAACAATAGAAAGCTTCTAAGCAGGAATTACACAATCATTTCTGGTTATAGGAATATGTTTCTGGTGGACAGAGGTTGGATGGATGGGATAGTGATAAAGGTGATAAAGGTTCAAGACAGAAATGGTAGCAGTAATGGAGTCATGGGTGTAAGGAACAAATCAGAGAACAATTGAAGGGATTCCTTTTAGTATTTCATGAAATGTTAATTGTATTCCTTCTGTACCAGATATTGATATACTGTAGTGAGCAAGACAAACAAGAATCTGCTCTCCCTGGGCTGATAGTGAGAGAAGAGAGACAAAAAACAAGCTGACCACTCAGCAAGATAATATCAAATAGGCAGGAGTTCTAAGTTCTACAAAAAACAAAAATAAAAAATACAACATAGCCAGGTGTCATGATAGTGACTAGATGATTCTTTAGATAAGGAAACCAATAACCTAGAGTTTACAGTTCCAGGCCAACAGAACTCTTGCTACAAAAACCAAAAATTCTAGGGAAGGGAGAGTTTATGCTCAAGAAATAGATGATGGTCTGTGTGCTGGGAGATTAGTGATCACATGTAAAATGTTAAGTGATAAGGCTGGGTTAAACTGTTTCTGAACATGTTCGACGTTTTTTTTTGTAAATTCAGATTAATATGAGGGTATAGACAATTAGGTTACAATGTTTGCATTTGTTAGTTAAGGTCCCTGCTGTAGTTGTGTCCTGCACGTAAGATGTTTGCCACATACCCAAACATTGTGCCCATTAGTTGGGAGCTGTGTTGGACATTATGTACCAGAAGAAGACACCCATATTTTTATTCTATCTTGGCAAACAACTGAGATTTTAAGTACATAGGCTACTATGTGGAAAATAAATTTTATGGGACTAGAAATTAAGCAGAGGGTTGGGTGAAGTGGCTCACTCCTGTAATGTTAGCCCTCTGGAAGGAAGTAAGGCAGGCAAATCCTTTGACCTCAGGAGTTCAAGAACAGCCTGAGCAAAAGAGACCTCATGTCTACTAAAAAAATAGAAAAACATTAAGTAGGCTGGTGGCCCAGGAGTTAGTCAAGCAAGAAGTTAGTATTTTCCCATCTATCTTGGGAGTGAACCAGATTTCATTTTGTTGAGGGCTTGTAGCCCAGGAATTTGTCAGGAGTTAACTGGTATTTTTCCATTATAACCTAGGCCTCATAGCAATAATGACAAGAGCCAAAACATAGTGTTACCGTATCCCATGCATTGGTCAAAATACTTAACAAATATTTAACTTTGTCTCCAAATTTTATAAGCTAGGTAATACTATTTTCTGTAGATGAGGAAACAGAGGTACGGGAAAAGTTAAGTAACTTAGCCAAAGATGCCTTCCAAGGATGCATGGTTCTGTATAAGGTTTCCCGAAACCTCAAGGTCTTTGGAATGTTTCTTATAAACGTAACATATGCTTTCCTTAATGGTACAGATTACTACATATTCAGGCCTTGTTAAATATATTAAGATATCAAAGTTCAAAGGGTTTCAAGATAAAATTCATGGACCTTTTCTTTAATTAAAATAAAAATAAATTTTTCAGCTTTTACTAACTCTTAAATCTTGTGAAATTCAGTTTGGGCCTTCAAGCCCTTTGTTGATCAAAAAATTTGAAAGTGTTTCCTTGCATTCTGAGTTATAGACTATTAAATACTAACCTACTTTCCTAAGAATATATAGGTCTATTGTACTCAGTACATAAAACAAATTCACTCCTGTTCAACGTGGGGGTTTTTTGTTTCTTTTTGGTATTATGACTGCCTATTTCTCTCTATCCTTACAATTTGGGTATCTAAATCTCAGGCCTTGAGAATCCTGGATGTCTGGTTGTCGACAGAAATCCATGGAACCCTGGGAAGTTCCTTGAGCCTCAGAGGATAAATGAGCCCCATAAATTTATTTCTATGTCCATCTTTTTTTCCCCAAGATTCTCAAAGGAGTTTCAGTTCATGTATTGGTAAGAATTACTCCCCTAAAGGGAGACAGTACGTTGAAATAACCAGAATTCTGCTTAACACATGTGGGTAGTTCACAAAATGTTATGAGCTGGCGTGCTTTATAATGGAATACGAGATACTAAGTGAAGGCCTCATCAGCTTTTCTTTAAACTTTCAGACCAATGTCTAATACTGAATTAGGAAAACAAAATTGTTTGGTAGAATTAAGCTTGCTGTAACATATTCATTACATGAACTTAAGAGTTATTGCCACGGACCAGACCCGTCTTGACAGCGCTGTTCCTTGTGATCAATCAGGAACCCTCACTCCCTTTCAAGCCACTGTTGTCAACTTCTAAAACCTGATGTTCTTTACTGGGGCAAAATACCAACACTATTAGAGAATAAGGAACCATTAAGTTTTCAAGTTCAGACCTAGTAATAATTTATGAGACAAAGTCAAATCAAGAAGCATTTAAAGTAAATATATACACCCCGAACGCCAACAAAAAGCCACTAACTGGTTATCAACTCCTTCAAATGAACAGATAGGTGGCCCTGAAAAGGGCCTTTGGTTCTGTGGAAGAAACTTGATTTAAGGATTAGCCGCCGAAGCCATAAAGGGTGCGGCCCTGTCGTTTGAGCGCGTAGACCACATCCATAGCTGTCACGGTCTTGCGCTTGGCGTGCTCCGTATAGGTGACAGCATCGCGAATCACATTTTCCAAAAATACCTTAAGAACTCCACGAGTCTCCTCGTAAATGAGACCGGAAATGCGCTTCACGCCACCGCGACGAGCAAGGCGCCGGATAGCAGGCTTTGTGATTCCTTGGATGTTATCTCGCAATACCTTGCGGTGCCGTTTGGCGCCCCCTTTGCCCAAGCCTTTTCCGCCCTTCCCGCGTCCAGACATGACGAAAACGAGCTCGCCAAGCTAGCAGCACAATGCTGTCAGCAAACTCACTCAGCACTTTTATAATAACATAACGGACCTATTTGAAAACCTCAAGAGCAGGGGCGGGAACCACAATCGTTTCCCGCCCTTCTGCACAGTTGTCCCCGGCTCAGAGTCTGGAAAAAAAAAACAGCGGCCTGAGACAATTACAGAGCCTTAGCTGGGATGTAAAAAATGTACCTAGTTAGGGGTCTTTGTGCAGATATATTCATACTGTACTCGCAGACATTGACTAGAACAGTTGCGCTCTGCTTTCACAGATAATTCTAACAGTTATATGCTTCTTTTCACAAACAAGCCTGCTTTCAGGCTTCTGATACTTTCAATAAAATTTTACGCAAGTCATATACATATTATTTGTATTGACTTGCGGCTCTCTAGCTACATCAGCAGGGCTCTTTGGCATGGAGACTAGATTATCTTTACTGAAAGAACTAAATAAATATGAAGGTTACCCATTGAGAGGTCTATCAAGTTAAAATCACTGAGGGGTGCATTTAAGACATACAAGTATGTGTATCCCAAAGCAATGAGAACCTTGTAGTGCAATAGATTTAAATTGTATGGGCTCAGTACCCATACCTCAGAGGTTAGGGCGCCAGTCACATACACCGAAGGTGGCGGGTTCCAGCTCGGCCTGGGCCTGCTAAACCACAATAACAACCAAAAAATAGCTGGGCGCTGGGGCGGGCACCTGTAGTCTCAGCTACCTGGGAGGCTGAGGCAAGAGAATCGCTTAAGCCCAAGAGTTTCAAGTTGCTATGAGCTATGAGGCCACAACACTGTACCAAGGGCAACAAAGTGAGACTCTCTCAAATAAACAAAAAACAAATAAAATTTATGCTTTGTGTCTGTCATGTGTCTGTCCATCACGGTCATGGACACTGAAAGGGGTTCAATGGTGTACCCAGAGAAGAGACAAGGAGAGGTTCAGACCAAATTTAATGAAAGGGAACTGAGACCTGCCTAAGCAAAGAGGGCTACTGCACAGAGAATGTTTGAGGGCTTATTTTAATATTGGGCGTAGGGGAGGAAGATTTCACAGTTTGCTGGAAGGTTTTAGGGGGCGAGGGTCTTCCTGTCAGAACTATTGGGGCGGGGTCAGATAGGCCTTTTGTTCTGGGGGGGGGGAGAGAGGAAAGGTTTAGGCCCCTAAGGGTAGTTAGCACTGTTTTCTGTCACCACAGATAATTCTAATATCTCAGCCAGCTGGCCTCATAGCATCCAGGTAAACTTTGGAGACTGTTTCATGTTAATTAGCTGGGTGATTTGGGCAAACTATACTGTTTCCTTTTAAATGTATAACAAGAGTTTAATTGAAAGAGTATTTGTTAAATTAAAAAAAATAAACCATGCAAAATTCCTGGAATAACGCCCAGATTGTACATGAACAATCACTGAACATTAATTATTGTATGCTATAATATTCCTGTTGTTCTCGATTTTTCTCCTTAAGATTCACCCCTCTGAAGTGATGAACTTAAGAGGAGTATCCTAATATGCTAAAACTTGATTTTGAGACCTTTTCCTAATAATAACTACTTACAGACTTAATTCACTAATAATACCCTTGTGGAGTTCCAGGTACTTTGGGGTAGGAAATTTGACTTTCTCTTCACCATGACCTATGAGGAGAACCAAGGTAATCACAGCTGCCCCATCAGTTTATGGTACACAGAAAATGAATGCAGAGTAAGAAATTCCATGAATGTTGGAATGAAAATCAAATGTTAGTAACAATAATCTGATGGGGATGTGTAAGAATAAATGGCAATGATTTTCATTATGAAGTGGACTAAGGTAATTTCTCCTCTGTTCTTGGAGAGTTTTCTTAGAAAAATAGTACGCCCAAATTTTTTTTTCTACTTTGAGAAAAGAGATAAATGTTTCTAAGGATTAAGCCCAATCTCCAGTTTTAACAATGTAGAGACAATCTCCAAGCTCATGGGCCAAATAACCTTAACATATGATTATATCTACTTTTAGAATTTATTTAGAAATGTCTCAAGGGATTGTTGTAAATTACACCCTCTCTATCTCAAGGAGATAAAAGAAGTTATTGTTCGGCTTTACTGTGTAACATATGTGAGATTTTGTCCTAATTTTTCACTTTTGTGCTACCTTATATGTATGTAAATCTGTTTGTGTTTACTCACAATAGAGTGTTCGTTTCCTGTCTTTTATAATAGTAAAGAAGAGTCATTTTGTTGCCAGAATTATTTTATTTGTTCGACATATGAAGGCCACTAAAAATCCCCTTTTGGTTTTTCATTCCTTTATTTTATCTTAAATATGACATCTAAACATGACTTCTTTATCTAGATTAATATTGGGATTAAAATTTTTCTTAGGAGGAAATAGTATGGACCACTCAGAACTCAGTGATAGAAATTAGAACAAGCTACTCATTTCATAATAGTTCTGTATCTTCAATATTCCAGTCAAGTATTGCTCTCATTCAATTTCAAATGATAAAGAGTCAAGCACTACTATGTCAACAGTGTATCTCAAGGAATACAGGTGCAAAAAGCAAGAATTTGGGCAGTTGCCATAATTGCAGAATAAAGCAATGGAAAGAGTTTAAGGACACCTGAGTTGTGCTGTGCTTTCACAGAAAATTCCTATATGTCTTTAAGGCAAGTTCTCTTATATGATTGAATCCCATATTTATAAGACCAACTTTATACTTCTAGTTGTTTAAATCTATGAAGATTTCAAAGTATACAAGTATGTAGGTCATATAAAAGAGATCCTAGTGTCCCTTAAAGAAATTGATCTGTTTAATATTATATTATCTGCAATGTTCCTTAAAGAAATTGAGGTGGGAATTTAAGTGCAAGGATCCAGATTAGGAGCAGGGGAATGACACACATAAACATTTCAAAGTATGTCACTGTATTTTCTTAAACCATGTCTTCATTTTAAAGTAGGATAGCAAAGAGAAAAAAGGGAAGAAAAAGACTGAGAACAAATAACACAAAAAGTTATATAATTTGTCCAAGATCATGTAGATTTTAAGAGGTAAAACCAGAAATTTGTTGTGTCTACAGATTTCATGCTTGTTCTGTGAACCACACTGCCAGAATGGTAATGTAAGGCCACAAAGCAAGACTTTGAACACACCAAGAAATGTGAAACCTTCATGCCTCCATGGTCTTTGCTCTGTCTATTCACAGGATTTCTGTCCTTCATAGCCCTAGTGAGACATAGACTTGTGCATCTTTCAAAATAAACACATGCTGAAGACATAGAGGAGTGAAGAAAATAAAATTAAATCACTTTCTCTCACCACTCTTTTCTTCTAACATTTAACATACATTGTACTGTGTCACTATAAGCCTAGATCCTTGAATAAACAAGAAATGTTGTGCTGAATATAAAACATTTTTAAAAAAATTTTCCCTCTTAAAGGAATGTGTATATGTGCATGTATAATCCTTGATCCTGGTACTTGGAATATTTTGCCAAAGCTTATCTTTCCCTTGTCCCCAAACACGACAGCCCTCTATATCCAAAGACTAACAAACATTTTAAAAATTCATTTCCCCCAGTAAAATTAATAAAAATACGAGAATTTTTCTGAATCCATATAGGAGTCCAAGTCTCTTTGGTGCCTTTTCCTGGATCTTCCCCGAACTCAGCTATTGCAAACCATCCTAATGTCAGGAGGATCATTGATCATTATATATCCCATTTTCCTGTAGAAATGTTGAATTCTTGTTTGCCCCCCCCCACAAATTAACTAAACGTCCAAGTAGATAAGCCATTATAACGTTTTTTACAACTCAAATTAATTTTCCTTATCAGAATGAGCAGTGACTGCTGTTCTTCTGGAGAACTCCAAAAGAGACTGTTACTGCTCATATAAAATAGAATTTCTAGGTAAATCTCAATAAAAATCAAGCAGTTGTTGAATTTAAGAGAAACCAAGAATGTATAAATATTCTTCAAAAGCAAGCAATTGAAGGCCAAAAGAAAGAATTTGTATTTTAAATGAAAATCAAGAAGTTATATTTTTGATCTGTGAATCAATCTCAAGAGTTAGGGGTTTTGATAAAGGGTGAGGCTGGACATGATAAAAACTGGAGAAAGAAAAAGTAAAGATCTCAAATTTTCAGCTGTCCCAATTCATTGGATAAGAGAAGGCGTGTGATTCTCCCTGGGAATTTTAATTATTTTGCTTTTCTGAATTATAACACACTTCAGGGATAGCTGAACTAGATTGCTGCCAAGGTAGAAGACTGAGCTGAGAACCAATCAACACACAGTGTACGTGACATACATGTGATCACAAGCACATACCCGGAGCCGTATGGAAGGTTTTTTTTCCAACTCTTTAAATACCAAATCTACAATCATGTCTGGAAACAGGACTTGCCCTAACTCCTGCTCTATATCCCACGAAAAGACAGCGTTAAGAAGGATTTACAAGGCCACACGTGTAACAAAGCAAAAGGCATCCAGGCCCCAGTGTCACCAAAGCCTTGGCTACTTCCAAGGAGCACAGTGGCAGGTCGCCCCACACTCAAGAAGGTGCTGGTGTCTGGTGGATATGGCAGAAAACAGCTGCTTTAAGCTGGGCCTTCAGAACCTGGTAAACAAGGGTGAATAAAGGTATTTTCCTGCAGAGCAAAGGCACTGGCACCTCCGATTCTCTCAGACTAAACAAGGGAGTCTCAAGAAGACAGCTACATTCCAGCCCAAGGGCAGCTACCAGGACAGGCAAAAGAGCCAAGAAAGCCACTGGAGCAGTCATCCCAGAATAATAAGCAGATCTCAAAGAAGCAGCAGACGACGGTTTCCTGGTTAAAGAAAGCTGCTCAGAGCCCGAAAATGGTGAAAGCAGACCAGCGGAAAGACGGTGAGACTCCAACTAAAGGTAACCTTCCACGTACAAAGCAGCAAGGCCCAAGGAGGCTGCTGCCAAAGTATAGACACACTTCTTAAAGGCTCTTAAAAGTACTACATGAATAAATTCATGAGGTCTTACACCAATTCTCCGGTGTGAGTGGCGAAAATACTTACTTCTCTGGTGAGCAAGTTTCCAGTTTACGGATAGTAGCATGCATGGTACACAGCATCTTTTATAGAAAAGGTGAATGGCTCTAAAAAGAGCCTTTGGGGTTAGGCTACCACACGCTCATCAGACCATGTATGCTTTCTCCCCACCAATATAGCATGCGAGCTGGATACCCTTTGGCATGATGGTGACCCGCTTGGCGTGGATAGCTCACAGGTTTGTGTCCTCAAAAAGGAGGCCCCACGAAGTAGGCCTCACAGGCCTTCTGCAGCGCCATCACCGAAGAGCTCTGGAACGGCAGATTGGTCTAGTCCTGCGCCATCTCAGGCACCAAGCGCTAAAAAAAAAAAAAAAAAAAAAAAGGCAATTTGCGGATCAGCAGCTCTGGCAGCAGCGAATCTCGGGCAGGGCCACGGTTATCGGCCGGCAGCGATAGAGTTTCTTCACCCACCGGTGCTGGGGCGGGCCACTTTGGTAGCATCTGCTTTCCTGGGGCCTTTCCACCAGTGGACTTGAGAGCTGTCCGCTTAGAACGAGCCATCACAAATCTTTGACATTAGAAAGCCGATGGGAAAATGAAAGCTCCATTCTTTTTCCAGAGACAGAGGCCTGTTCTGATTGGACAAGGCAGTTCATTCCTCTCCATCTCACAATGTTCACTCTTTGAATACAGGAACCTCCTCTGCGTTTACACTTATTGTCAGAATCTTTCTCTATCCTCCCCTTTAACTCTGTTTTCAAATTTATTTGACTTTCGCTTTTTTTTTTTATTTAAAATGTTCTTTGATGGGTTGCCCCGCCGAATTTAAGGTGATAACTCTTACTTGCAGTGTTATGTATACATTTGTATTTTAGACTGAAACTGGTTTTCTTTTGATCAATTTTAAGGAGCGCGCTAGATGTAATTGGCCAATGGTTTTGGTTTTTTCCCTTCATTTACTTTCTGAAAGGTAGGTTTCACCACAATATCTTTGTCTACTTAAACTTTAGGTTTTTAATTTCAAAGATGTGTTCCATATGCGCTATCATGCCTATTAACTCATTTATTAATACATCTAGTTTAAATATAAAGCACTCATTATTTAATTTAGCTGTTCCTGCAAAATAACCACTTGTGATTAGTACAAAAAATTATGTGCTGCTTCAAAATGACGAATATGAAGAACAGCTCAATGGAGCCAGAATTGGCTTGTTAAAAATGAAAAACACAGGGCGGCGCCTGTGGCTCTGTGGGTAGGGCGCCAGACCCATATACCGAGGGTGGCGGGTTCAAACCCGGCCCCAGCCAACCCGCAACAAAAAAACACCCAGGCGTTGTAGCGGGCGCCTGTAGTCCCAGCTACTCGGGAGGCAGGGGCAAGAAAATCGCCTAAAACCAGGAGTTGGAGGTTGCTGGAAGCTGTGTGACGCCAGGGTACTCTACCGAGAGGGATAAAATGAGACTGTCCTTAAAAAAAAAAATAAAAGGAAACCACACAAACTGTAAAGCCATAATGGTCTGCAGGCGATCTTGTCCCATTAAGACGCAGAGAAACATTTAAGTGTAGTCTGTTTTTATTAAGATTTAAACGTGTACTTACAGTATTAGTTGAGTGCTAAATTTCCTCCAGCATTTAATAGCTTTGCCATCTTAAGGTTAGAGTGCTTAAGTCTATTCAAATAAATAGAGAATTCTCCACATCTCTGTATTTACATAACCATTATGACCTCCTTAAATCAAAACGTACCTTTAATACTGTTAAAATATCTGATCCTAGGATTTAAAAAAAAAAAAAAGTAGGGAAAATGCAAGCCCTTTTAACGAATACGTGGTGGCTCTGAAAAGAGCCTTTGGTTATAAATGACGACTTTAGGGACCAAAACACTAACTTCCCATATTTACTTGCCCTTGGCTTTGTGATGGCTTTCAGTCTTCTTGGGGAGCAGTACAGCCTGAATGTTGGGTAAAACACCACCCTGCGCAATAGTAACTTTGCCCAGCAGCTTGTTGAGCTCCTCGTCGTTGCGGATAGCTAGCTGTAGATGGCGTGGAATGATACGCGTCTTCTTGTTGTCCCGAGCCGCGTTACCCGCCAACTCCAAGATTTCAGCGGTCAAGTACTCCAGCACTGCTGCCAGGTACACCGGAGCTCCGGCTCCAACTCGCTCGGAGTAGTTACCCTTACGCAACAAACGATGCACTCTGCCAACCGGAAACTGAAGGCCAGCCCTTGAAGACCGAGTCTTAGCTTTGGCGCGAGCCTTGCCGCCTTGCTTTCCGCGACCAGACATCTTCCGACACTAACAAACCTGCTCTGCAAAGAAAACAGAAATACAGATAAGAATTTTCTTAGCAGATGAGAAGCTATTATACTTGCAGACTGAATTGTAAATTACGCTATTTGATTGGCTACAACAACCTCAGAACGGTAACCAATGGCAAAGAGGACTTACAATCACTTAATTTGCATACCACAGTACAGCCTGGAATTTTTTATCCAATCAAGGCCTACGTTTTTCAATCCCAGTTTTGCATACAAGCCCTACAAATAATGCCAGCCTTAAGCAGACACATCATTTCCCTTTACCTTGCAAACGCATCTTTTAGCTGATATGCCTGAACCAGCTAAATCTGCTCCTGCCCCTAAAAAGGGCTCCAAGAAGGCGGTGACTAAGGCACAGAAGAAAGATGGCAAAAAGCGAAAACGTAGCCGAAAGGAGAGTTACTCTGTGTACGTCTACAAGGTCCTGAAACAGGTCCATCCCGATACTGGTATCTCTTCTAAAGCCATGGGTATTATGAACTCATTTGTTAACGACATCTTCGAGCGGATTGCGGGCGAAGCTTCTCGTCTTGCTCATTACAACAAGCGCTCAACTATCACTTCCAGGGAGATCCAGACAGCCGTGCGCTTGCTGCTTCCTGGAGAGCTGGCCAAACATGCAGTGTCCGAGGGTACCAAGGCTGTCACCAAGTACACCAGTTCCAAGTAATTTCAGCGCCTGAGAGGATTTTGTAACCAAATACAAAGGCTCTTTTAAGAGCCACCAATCTCTTCGGCATTAAGAGTTGTAACTAGTATATCTTGAGTTTGGTTAGCTGTTCTGTGGAGTTAAAGGTAGTGTACAGTAAAAATTTATAATCTTTTTGACTGGCTTATAGAAGAAAACCTATACTATACCTAGTGAACAAGTATGTCTGTCACATCTGCCTACATTGCCACTGAGGCTGGCCAAAGTGCTGTCATGTAAGCTTTAGTACAAATCAAGGATAACTTTGGCTTCTCTGATGGAGAAAAAAATTGAGTGCTAGGTAAAGAAACACTTTAGGTCTGGGATCTCTACTGTAGTACATTTTTTTAGGGCTGATTTACTAGCTTGTTTTTATTCTAGTAGACAAAATGATGGCAAATGAAAAAAACATGCCTCTGGTTTAAGACGGCCACCTTCCAGTCCTGCACATGTCCTATAAAAGGCCACCTTCCAGTCATGCACATATCCTATAAAAAGCTTAATTTTAAAATCCTATAAAAGCCTTAAATTTTACAGGTTTCTCCTAATTTACAAGCCATATGTAAGGTTATAAACCGCCATGAGTGGCATTCTGAGTAGAATTAATGCTGAAAACGTATGTAAAAAATAATTGAGAATTTCACTTACGTCAGGAAGAAAGTATTACGGTATATTCTTGTATCCCTACTGAACACATAAATGCAGAAACAAAAAATATTCAAATAAACCAACACAAAAAATGAAAAAAAAATTAGAATTGAAAATACCAGATACCTTTCTTTACATGATAATTCGCATTGTTGTTACAACAGTTAATGTTTACTTTCTTTAGTCTCAGAAGTATTGATCTAAAGTAAGGTGTACTACATTAGGGGGTTATATAAACTTTATAAAATAACATACAAAAATGTGTCCATATTTGGTTTCTGCCCTTCCCAGAGCAGAAATTATGTAGTTTTCTATCAAATTCTAATTGACTGCAGAAGACCAAATAATGCCACCTCAGTGATGCTTACATCCTAATCCCTGGAATTGGAATTTGTTAGATTACATGACAAAGGGCAATTAAAATTGGAGATAGAATTTAAATATACCAATTGGCTGGCCTTAAAATGAACCCACTATAATCAGAAATGTCCTTAAAGGGGGAAGAAGGAATTTGAATAGAGAAGCAGAGAAAAGGCAGCGTGGGAAAGATTTGGCCATAGATTTGAAAATGAAGGTAAAGGATCATGAGTTAAGGAAAGAGGATGGCCTTTAGGAAGTGAAAGACAAGAAAACAAAGGTTTTTAAAAACTTTTGTTAAAGGTTGGCTGGGCAAGGTGACTCATGCCTTTACTTATTCCTAGCAGTTCTGGAGGCCAAGGCAGGTGGATTGCATGAGTTCGGAAGTTGGAGACCAGTCTAACTGAGAGCAAGACTCCATCACTAAAAAAATAGCTTGAGCTTGTTACTGGCACCTTAGTCCCACCTCGGGAGGTTGAAGCAAGAGGATCACTTGAGCCCCAGAGTTTTTGAGGTTGTGAGCTATGACGCCATAGCACTCAAACCCAAGGCAAATGAGACTGTCTCAAAAAGATAATAATAATTAAAAATAAAAAATAAGTAAATTAAAACTTTTGTTAAAATCAAGCTCACACCTTGATTTACTTCAAGGTGAACTAAAACCTTTGGACTGAATCCTGATTCATAGAAATGTAATTATAAATTTGTATTGTTTTAAACCATAAAGTTTGTGATCGTTTTTTAAACCAGCAATAGGAAACTAATACATGATGCATATTTAAAAATAATTAATATATTTAAAATTTCTTAAATTGCAATTTATGTATTTAAATTCAAATATGTAAATACTATTGAAATTATTATAGATACATGTAAATTATCCCTAAATATCCAAAGCACACATGATTTTGAAATTGCACTGATTTTAACAGCAGCAATTTTTTTTTTTTTTTTTTTTTTTTGGAGATAGAGCCTCAGGCTGCTGTCCTGGGTAGAGTGCTGTAGTGTCACAGCTCACAGCAACCTTCACCCATTCTCTTGCCTCAGCCTCCCAAGTAGCTGAGACTACAGGCGCTCGCCACAACGCCCAGCTATTTTTTGGTTGTAGTTATCATTGTTGTTTGGCGGCCCCAGGCTGGATTTGCACCCTGCAGCTCCAGTGCATGTGGCTGGTGCCTTAGGCGCTTGATCTACAGGAGCTGAGCCTAACAGCAGCAATTTTGGTTTGTTTCTGGGGTGTCTAATTTGATTTCAAAACAGAAAGTCTAAATTTTTGAAAGAACACATCACAGAACTCCAGTTCCATCCATGATCTTTTGATGCTATGATCTTTTAAAAATGCTTTGATATAATTTAAAAAACACTTTATATAAACTTTTGAATATTTTATGAAGTATTTGCATATGCATAATCTCCTTTCCCAACCACTAGATCACATTTCTTTTCCTAAGAGATTCCTTATTCATCTTAAGTGTCCTGAGTCAGTCAAGAAGAAAAGTTTACTTAGGCTACAGGAAACTTAGGCTATAGGAGGAATATAGTCTGCAAGCCGCCATCGAATTTACCTCACTTCTGGCTCTCAAAATAAATGTTTGACATACCTGAAGGAACTGATAGTGATAAATCCTTCCTAAACCATAAGTTCTTCAAGGGTTAGGAAAACGTTTAAAATAATTATCTAAGTCGCTGATGCTAAAAGGATATTCAATTAATTTTTTAAAAGTAAAGAAGCAATGGCCCTTTAAATCAAGGGAGGCTTAGTACCATGTACCAGTCAATGTCTAGTCAGAAAAACAAATTATTAAGTTATATTTATAAAGATAATTTAATAAAAGTTACACAGTTATTGGAAGGAATAAGACCAAAACATATTTGAGATATTCCAGAGACAAAAAGCAGAAGGAGAAGCTACATGTAGGCCTGGGAGGACAAGGGAAAAAGTTGGAATATTAGAACGTAGAAGTCTGGGCAGGCCTGTTGGAGCTGGGACTCAGAACTCTGAGGTGTTACAATGAAGGTAATTCTGGGAATGTAGGAAATAAAGCTGGGAATTGGAACCAAGTTCCCATTCCAGGAGGAAAAACATTGCTGGAGTGATACTGACAGGAACAGAGTTCCTTGCCTCTCTTCTCTCCTCCCTTTCAGCAGCATCCCTAGTGTTCCCTATTTTCCTACACTAAATAGGCATGTTCCTGGTAAAAAGCAAATAAGCAAACCAAAGAATGTATCTGTAGGAGCAAGGAAAGATTACCCATTTACCCTAGGAAGGTTCATGAAAATAACTGACAAGAGGCAGATTAATTGGAGAATAGACAAATTTATTTAACATATATACACAGGAGCCTTCAGAACGAACAACCAAAGGTTGCAGGGGAAACTGTCCATTTTTATACTGAATGTATTTGTTTGGAGTTACTGAATGTATTTGTTTGGAGTGCCTAGATACTAAAATGAGAATTACAAATTTTAATGAAGAGGGTATGAAGAAATATAATCTGGGTGTGGAATACAGCCCACCAAGGGGCAACAAAAAATTATGCTACGGAACCACTAAATAGCCATGTCTTTGGCTTTGGGAAGAAAATTCTTTTGGACAGATTTCTCTTGGCTTGGAGATGGAGAACGTCAAGTCTTGAAAATTTCAAACTCTTTCTCACTGGGGTTTCAGTCACCAGGGGCTTTACCACAGAAGCAGCGATATCAGAGACACCAAATATATAGGACAAAGCTGGGCTTCAAATTTAATAGAGGTTGCTACAGTTCTGAACGTGTAGACTAAGACTCCTGTGCAATCATACTAAAGAATTCCAATCATAAAATACTATTATTCAAATGTTGTCTCTCTCTCTCTCTCTCTCTATATATATATACATATATATATATTTATTTATTTTTTTCTGATGTAGTTAAAATGGCCTCAAAAATTCCTACTTGGGTACTTTGGTTTTACAAGATTAGCCTCTCCTGAGAGGCGTTCTGCCTGCCCACGCCCGAGCCTTCGGTGACGTCATCTCAGGTGGCCCGCGAGAGGTGGGGTAGTGGGCGGACCGAAAGTACCCGTAGGCGCCTACAGTTTTCAATTAGGTCCGCAGACCGTGCATATAAGTACATTGCGCCTACAACTTCTGTACTTTCCTGATAGATCTCTGAGGAGTTGCTACAGGATGTCTGGCCGCGGCAAAGGAGGAAAGGGCTTGGGCAAGGGAGGTGCAAAGCGTCATCGGAAAGTCTTACGAGACAACATCCAGGGTATCACTAAGCCTGCTATCCGGCGTCTGGCTCGACGAGGTGGTGTTAAGCGTATTTCTGGCCTTATCTACGAAGAGACTCGTGGAGTGCTGAAGGTTTTCTTGGAGAACGTTATCCGTGATGCTGTCACTTACACAGAACACGCCAAGCGTAAAACTGTAACAGCTATGGATGTAGTTTACGCGCTTAAGAGACAGGGGCGTACTCTGTATGGTTTTGGCGGTTAAAGTGTCTAGCATCCAAAATTGAAGGTACCCAATTCTCAAAGGCCCTTTTCAGGGCCACCCACATTTTTCCGCAGAAGAGTTGGCACGCTTATATACCATCTTTTTTTGTTACGTCCTAAATGTATGGTGGGCTTATGTATAAATCAGACAATAATGAAGGGTGGGGCGGCTGTGCTCGGTGACTTCAGGAGGTTTCAAACCAAATTATTAAGTATGCACTACGTAAATTTTATACATAACCTCACACCCAAGTAAAGCCAAATTTCCTAATATCTTACTAAAATACACTCAAAAAGACCAAGTGAATTTACTGTGACCAAGATGGGAAAAACAAAAGGTAAAAATGATACTAAAGAAAAATAAGCTTTTATGGGCAGCAGAACAACAGAGTGATCACAATACCTTGGTGTTAGTGCCATATGGCTTCTTCCCTGTAATTTAAGCAGAAGCCAGCTTCTAGAAAGCATTACAGAAACTATGCCTGGAATTTTAAACCAACCCTGACACTGATAGGCCAACAAACCCTCTTGCACCATTTTGCAGACATGCCAAACTGACTGGACAAAGGGTTATCATAAACATTCATTACTGATAAATGGTGTAGACCTTAAGCCAGTTTCAGCCAACCTGTGGAGACTACAAATTCTCTTTGTGCCTTGTCGCTTACCTATTGACATAAGGAGCCATATTCCACCTCGCTTAAGTGCCAAAACCCCATCCCAAAGTGAATGTGGGATGTTTTCCCAGTATGTAAGCACCTGACTTCCCCCAACCCTACTCAATATTCATGTGAAACACAGTGTACGGCATACATACCAGCTTCTTCCTTCTGCACAGAGTATACTTTCTCAAGTTTTCCTCAAGGCCAGCTTTCCCTAGGATTGATTCTCTTTTTGAAAATATAGTCTTTTTTCCTTCCTCTGCAGATCACATAGTTTTTTAATATCTGGCAACCACAGGTGGAGTCCGAAGTGACCCCTGATTCCACTACCCTCCACCTTCCCTGTACTGCCTCTGCCAATGTTAGGCAAGCAAGAATATTCTTGAAGTTTATTTGTGCCTTGGACACATTAGGAAAAGAATTAGGTAAGCCTTATCAGATATAAGTTTTCCCGCTTTAAGCTGAAATCTAGGAGACTATTTTCTTTTAGAAAGGTCTACCATCAGATTTGGGACTAAATCTAATTGTAAACTCATGGTCCAGGGGAGAGGGGAGGGGACCCCCACTCCCACCCCTGGAAGTTTACTCACCTTTCAGAGAATGCTTTGGCTAAATGATCCACCAAAGGAACTGGTCATTTGGGGAACTTCATCATCTTACATATTCAAAAACTATGAGGTGAAATTTAAAGAAAAAAAGAAAGAAAAGAAAAGAAAAAAATTAGTAAAAACTATGAGGAAAAAAATTTGTGAATATTTGGGATGCTGGATAAAAACAACTTGGGATGACTTAAATCTTTGTTGGACACAATAAGAAACCCTGATAAAATGATAAAATGGGGTAAACAATACTGGACTCTCCCTAGTGCTTCTAAAGGGGAGAAATTAATTCATAAATTAGTATGTAATTTGCCCTTTACACAATGTTATGAAGCCCTTAAGGATCGTGAAGGCAAATTACTATTGCCAAGGGGCCCCTTCCAAGACTATCTATCATGTCAGTAATCTACTTAGTTGGCTTCCTACCAAATGAGAAAATAACTTTTCAAGCTGCCATTCAAGCCCCTGTAATAATCATAGATTCCATCATTCCTTTCTTCTTAATGTTTATATTACTTATGTGCAAACAACTGCAGTGCATTTGCTTTTGTTAAAAGCAAAATTACAGCATCCCGAAGTATAGAACTGATAGAATAAAGCTGTAAACCTAGGTACAGCCTCACTGCACACACTCGGACTATACAGCTTTGACCCAGGTAGGTGCACATGTGCAAAGAAGCTATGCAAATTAGAAATAAGTGTTACAACCTTACATAAACAGATGTTTTAACAGCAACCTTAAGGCTTATAAATTACCTAATTGGAGTCTGTTAAATATTTCACTGACATGTACTTGTCCCAAGCTTTCTTAGTATAAGTCTTCATAAAACATTTCAATAGTCCTGCCAGATGACAGTTTTTTACCATGTACAAGAAGTTATTGTTGTTATTTTCTAGTGAGCATCTGCCTACCCTTCCTTACCTGGCCTAAATTGGTCAAATGGCTGTAAGTCTCACCACCGCATAAATCCCATCAAGAGACTCAAACTCAGGTCAGGGAGTCTAGGCCACCCTCACATGGATATGGGGCATGATGGGATTCAATGATACTACGGCAGGTTTCAACCTATTGACATAAAAAGTCAAATTCGGGCGGCACCTGTAGCTCAGAGGAGTAGGGCGCTGGCCCCATATGCTGGAGGTGGCGGGTTCAAACCCAGCCCCGGCCAAAAACTGCAAAGAAAAAAAAAGTCAAATTCCACATCATTTTAATGCTAAAACACTCTCCCAAGTTGAACATGGGTTATGTATTACATATATGTTTACCCAGTATACAAGTACCTTTCCTCATGAATACTCGGTAACATCCTGAACCCTATTCAATATGTATGTAAAGCTGACTCTGTAAAGCATGTATACCAGCTCCTACCTCCCTTACTTGGAGGATATACTTTTAGATTTCCCTGAAGGCTATATATATCAAACCTAGGATCTTTTCTCCCTCTGAAAATAGTCTTCTTTTAATCGATGGATTTTATAGTCTTCTGTTTACATTTCATAGTCTTTTGTTAACAATCTATTCTAAGTCCACATTAACTACATCTCAATTATGCCCCAAATGTCCTGGATATCTGGTTTGTTCTGAAGGAACTCAGGAAGTTTGACCCCAGAATATGACTCCTTGGTATAAAGAATATTTTGAATTACCTTCAACAAGAGATCAACAAGCCTTGGAAAGGGCTTTCTAGCTACCTGTATAAATCAGACAAACCCATCAGAACAATTTTAAAGCAGAAATCAATTCTTTGCTCAAAACCCTTCCTCTCTCTGTTATATCAGCATATTGCAGGAAAAAACATCAAATGTGCCAAATTACTTTACGTATAATACCTGTCTCTTAGGTTATTTACAAGTCAATCTGTTTTCCTCTCATCTATTCATTCTCTCAGATAATCTATTTATTGTTCCCAGAAACTATTCATTGCCTCTAAACAGAATTGCCTATATTCCTCATATTCTCCTCCCCTCTGAGAGAAAGATATATAAATTTCTGGACCCCACTGGGATATTGGATAATCACGCTATGATTCTCCCCTTCTGCATGGTAACTACACTTCTTTTATTAATCTAGGGATATCGCCATTATGAAATCAAAGTACCTCAAAAGCATGGCCAGCCCTAAAGGACATCTGTCCTGAACCCCAAGTGTTGCTGTTTTTCTCGACATCAAAGAAGGCTGAGCAGTCAGTGTTCATTCTGTTCTTACTAATGGTTCCCCTTTTTTTCTCTCAAAACCTCATGTTAATTTATACAGAAGGTCAATTTGTACCTGCACAAGACTGGGAAATTTGTTGCTCTTTTCTTCTCCTCAGTTTTGTTCCCTCAAGGTCTGTTCTCTGTTGGAGACGTTGACTAACTTTTCTGTTCCCCCCTCTGTGGCTCATACCTACTACCTACTCTAACATTTCCATATATATGGAAGTTTCATTTATTGGGTTTGGGTACACAGTTAAAACAAGTAAAACATAGTATAGAACTAAGTGTGGTGGAAGAGTACTGAAGCAGGAAAAGTTGTAACATGAAGGGAGGAAGTAATATCTTAAATAAGGTCTTGGAAAACTTGGCTGATAAAGTGATTTGAGTATTCCAAATGGAGACCAAGTTGGAAAGCCTGAAGGTAGTGAAGAGATATTGTGGCTGGGCAAAGGGGCACAGAAATGTGGAGGAAAGACCTTATATGAAAGGCAAATAAAGGTAAGTAGTTCCTAGATGGCCCTGTAGGCCAATGTTACTACTTTGGCTTTTACTCTGAGTGAGGTGGGAGCCACTACAGGGTTTTGAGCAAAAAATTGATTTCTGCTTTAAAATGATCTACCAGAATGCCTGAATGAGAAGACTAATGGGGCCAGGGTAAGAGCAGGAAGATCAGTTGGGAGGCTACTGCGATAAGGAAGATGAGAGATGGCAGTGGCTGGTACCAGTGTATTAGTGGTGAAGTTTGTGGAAAATGATTGGATTCTATATACACTTTAGAAAAGGCTAATAGCTCTTTTCTGAGCTACTGAATACAGGGCACATGAGAAGATAATGTATTGGATAATTCCAATGATTTTAGCCAAAGCAACAGGAATGGAGGTCCCAGTTACTAAAAGGGAGAGAATATGGAAGGATTAAGTTTTGGAGAGAATTGCAGGCTTAGTTTTGAGTATCCAGGGATAGATTGAGGAATCTATTGAGATTATCTAAGAGGAAGACATGAAATAGGCAGTTGGAAATATGATTCTGGAATTCTAGGGAAGAGATCTGGGCTGGAAGCATAATTAATTAGGAGTTCTCAGACTATACCCACCATGAGACTAAAAAAGCCACAAGATAGGATAGCATATCTTTTAGGAAAAACGGTTGGTATTGAAGACAAACTGTTCAATGACTGATCTCTAAGTCAAAGAAGTAAGGAATGTTTGATCTGTATTCATCACATGTGAATTCCTAATTTAGCGTTTTATAAGTGCTTTCTCTAACAGTTCTCCCTATCTCCTATAATTCCCAGAACAAACAATAAATATTATCCCTATTTTACAGATATGGCAAAAGGCCCTTTGTAATAAGAATATGCAATAAAATTAAAATTCCTGTAAATCCAGGCAAGCTAAAAAACAAAATAATAATAATAGTAGCCTATTAAAGCTAAAGCATGGGAAATAACTTTGGGAATCTAGTGATAGATATTCACACCATATCCAAAATGCTTCTATCTTCTCCACATATTTTGCATGCAATTTCAGTTCTCAGGCCTTCCAAAGTCTACCTATAGCACTCAACTCAAGAGCACACTGTATCTGATGCCACCTTTTCTCTTTCCTTAGCTCAGCTGCTCCTGATCAATCTGAGAAGATGAACCAAGAGAATGAAAATTTCTCTCTGATTCTGTTGAACTCATGCTTCCTTGTTATTATGGAGATACTATAAATATGTTGATGATTTAGAAATTAAACCACCATCCTGCAGATTTCCCCTTGAACACCAGACTCAGAGACCCTGCTACCTACTTGACATCTCTACTGGAACATACAACTAATATATACTTCCAAGTTAAACAGGTTCAAACAGAATTATTTGCATTATCTCTGCAAAAACAGTCCCTCTTGTCATTTTGAAATTGGTGAATGGCATTTCTATCCTTTCTTTCAGTTGGAGTCATTTTTGTATTTTTCTTTCACACAGTACATCTAATCCATTAATAAGTCCTATCACCTCCACCTTGAAAACAGAATCCAACCATTTCTCATTAGCACTGCTACCACCCTGGTCAAGCCACTGCTATCTCTTTCTTTAATTATTATAGCACCCTCTAAATCATTTTCTGCTTTTCCTTTCTCTCACACAGAGACAGACAAACTTCAATAAAGGGCAGATCAGACTAGGTCACTGTTATGCTGAAAATCCTCCAATGAGTCTCATTTCACTCAAAGAAAACCCCAATGTCCTTACAAGGCCCCCACTCTCTCGCCCTTTCTACCTTTGGTCTCAAATGCAGCTATTCCTTCTGTGCTTCCTACCCCAACTCCATAGCCCCTCAAAATTACTCAAGGTATACATCTCCCTTAGGGACTATGTATTGATGGTTCCCTGTGTGGGGTCACTCCACATCCAAATCTACAGATTTTTTGTTGGTTAATTTTTGTTTGTTTGGGTGTTTTGGTTTTGCTTGTTTGTTTTTGAAACAAGGTTTCTCTGTAGCTCAGACCGAAGTACAGTGGCAAAATCACAACAAACTGGAAACCTGAAAAAACTCCTAGGCTCAAGAGATCATCCCACATCAGCCTCCAGAGTAGCTGGGATTATATGTGTGAGCCACGGTGCCCAGCGTGCTATGTAGGCCTTGCTTCCTCAGTTTCTGCAGGTTGGCATTTACATATCATCTTCTTTATGAGAATGACTGTGACAACACTGTTTAGCAAACTGCATCACTCAATTCCCTATTATATTTTTCTGTGCTCTTGGGGAGTCTACAGTCTGTTTGGAGAGTCAAAATATACCCTTATGAAAAGCAAAGTAGGATTGTAATAAGATGTCAGAAAACTAATTCAGATCAGTTTTGGAAGTGATAGTTGATGCTTGGACAAGTGGCATGGTGCCAGGTTTCTTAGGTCACTTAGGCTAATGACAGAAATGTGGAGGTTATGCTGGAAAGGGAAGCATGTAAAATTTCCTTGCCCCTCCACCGTTGGTTCTGATTATGTAACAATTCTCTAGTCTTACAAAACCAGTTCTTGGATTGAGCACATTGATGAATAAAATGATTAAAAATTTGAATGAATTTAAAATTGATAAATACTTCCCTATACATGTCAAGTATTTTTATTTCATGGTGGAAAGGAAAATATTTCAAGAAGGAGCCTCTAAAAAACAAATCTTATATATTAGTAGCAATTTTTACAAAGTACTCTGCTTGCTTTTCTCTTTCCTATTAATAACAGGATTGTCTGATCAACTCATCTTTTACTTTACTGTAGATTTTGGAGTTCAAAGGGTGATTTTCCATGTTACAAACAAATTTCTAATATAAACAACATTTAATCGCTGATGGAAGTTATTTTTATGGAAGGTGAAGTGGCTTTTTGACTAATATATTTGCCTGTTTATTGGTTTTTAAATTCATAATCATAGATACTTAAAAAGAATTTATGACATAACATGCACAAATTATGATAGATAATATGAACGTGCTTAAATCCAATTGCTAATGAGGTGTATAGCAAATATTACCAATAACTGTTTTGACCTAATCTTTCTTCCTCCTGCTACTCCCTCCAGGGGTAACCATGGAATTATGTCACTTTCTTTTTTTGGTTTTTTAGGATAAGGTCTCACTTGATCGCCCCCAGTAGTAGAAATGGGGTCATAGCTCACAGCAACTTCAAACACTCTTGAGCTCAGGCGACCAATCCTCTTGCCTTGGCCTCCAGAGTAGCTGGTACTACAGGCTCCCGCCACTTCTTTAGAGACAGAAGTCCTGTTCCAACTCAGGTTAGTCTTTTTACTACTGAGCTCAAGCAATGCACCCGCCTCAGCCTCCCAGAACGCAAACATTATGGAGTGAGCCACTGCTCCTGGCTTATAGTTCACGTCATTCACTCCTTTGATATTTTGCTTATTATTGCTTTTAAAATCTGGTGTAGTTACTCGAATAAAAAGCAATGGGGCAGAGGAAGGGATGGTAAATATCTTAAAGGGCTGCTTTTTCTCTGGCATTTATTCAAGTTACCTGATTAAATGAAGTTTTCCAGTGAGCCAAACTAAATAATCGAAATCTGTGATATTACCAACTAAGGTACCCACCTACAATGCACTTAGCATTAAAGCTCTTTAACTGAGACTGTTGAGTGGCTCTGAAAAGAGCCTTTGGTTTTGACAGTGACTAAACTCACTATTACTTAGAGCTCGTGTACTTGGTGACAGCCTTGGTGCCCTCTGACACAGCGTGTTTGGCCAACTCTCCAGGAAGCAGCAGACGCACAGCAGTTTGGATCTCTCTGGAAGTGATGGTGGAGCGCTTGTTATAATGCGCCAGACGAGATGCCTCACCCGCTATGCGCTCAAAAATGTCATTGACGAACGAATTCATAATACCCATGGCTTTAGAGGAGATGCCGGTGTCCGGATGGACCTGCTTTAACACCTTGTACACGTACACGGAGTAGCTCTCTTTGCGACTGCGTTTGCGCTTCTTGCCATCTTTCTTCTGCGCCTTAGTAACCGCCTTCTTGGAGCCCTTCTTAGGGGCAGGAGCGGACTTCGCTGGCTCAGGCATATCGACACAACCAACCGCACTATAGAGAAAAAGGTGTAAGTGCTTGGCTGCGGCTAGACGCTCTATTTTTATAGACCTTCTATGCAAATGAGGTAGTCAAAATAGCCAAATCTGATTTGAAGACGTTTAGTGACGTAATATGTAAATTTTATTTCAACATGTCTGCTTTGTAATTGGTTCTCTAGTACAAGGACAATTTTAACCAATCCAACGCCGCCTTTTACAATTCCACCCAGCACTATAACTAGCTTCCTATTCCTCCTTTGAGGACATTTCTTTTTTCCTTTTTCTGTGGTTGTTTTGTCTGCTGATAAATCGTTATGTCTGGACGCGGCAAGCAAGGAGGCAAAGCTCGGGCCAAGGCTAAAACACGGTCTTCTAGAGCTGGTCTTCAGTTCCCAGTGGGTCGTGTGCACCGCCTTTTGCGCAAGGGCAATTATTCTGAACGAGTTGGAGCTGGCGCGCCGGTGTATCTGGCAGCAGTGCTGGAATATTTGACCGCCGAAATTCTGGAGCTGGCAGGAAACGCAGCCCGCGACAACAAGAAGACTCGCATCATCCCACGCCACCTGCAGCTAGCTATCCGCAACGACGAAGAGCTTAATAAGCTTCTGGGTCGTGTTACCATTGCCCAGGGCGGTGTCCTGCCCAACATCCAGGCTGTGTTACTGCCCAAGAAGACAGAGAGCCACCACAAGGCGAAGGGCAAGTGAAAACGCCTTGTAGTCCGGTCATCAGTGGTCCCCCGCTGTAGAAATCAAAGGCTCTTTTCAGAGCCACCTATTTATTCTATAAAGTGCTGAAATACGGATTCTCATAAGGATTCTAATTAATATTATCCGCAATAATCCTTGAGCTTTAAAAATGCAAACATTTTTTTCCCTGGGCTTTGATAGCAAAGAGGTTGACATATTTGAGATTTAAGTTTTATGCACCATGAAGTCTGAAAACTGAGTATCTTTATATTTTTACCTTTAACTAAAGAGAAAGCATTTGTAAATGCAGTCCAACTAATTTTTTTTAAAGAGTAAAATTTCTCAAGCTTGCAGGAGTACTGTGCCGTCATAGCTCACAGCAACCTCAAACTCATGGGCTTAAGCAATTCGCTTTGCCTCAGCCTCCCAAAATAGCTAGGAGGGACTCCTGGTGCCCACAATGCCTGCTATTTTAGAGACGGAGGTTTTCCTCTGGCTCAGGCTGGTCTGGATTCTGTGAGCTCAAGCAATCTACCCTTCTAGGCCTCCCAAGTCTGGGATTACAGGCAGGAGCCACCATGCCTGGCCAAAAAATTTTGTCTCAAGGAAAGTCAGTGCCATAGGCTATGCTATGTATATTGTTAAGATAGGAATCAAGATCCATAACAATACCACATTGTTTTGTGTTATGTGTATAGGGAAAACTATATGTAGGCTGGATATCTATGTACCTTAGCTATCAGAAAAGCCAAATATGAATACAGAAATGAGAGAACAAAGAAGCATATAGGCCAGTAAGTCTTAAGGGTGGGCTTCTTAAATTTTGGAAATGATGACATTCACCAGTGATGATTGTTTTAAAAATACTTGGTTATTCCTCTTTTCAGAAAAATGAAATTCACACAATACTCAGTAATCAACATTAAACCTTTACTTTTATGACCTAAATTTAAAAGTAGACTAAAGGAAAATTATTTACCTTTAGGCTCGGTACCCAAGCTCAGTGGTTAGGGCGCCAGCCACATGCACTGGGGCTGGTGGGTTCGAACCGGCCTCGGCCTGCTAACCAACAATGACAACAAAAACAATAGCCCACCATTGTGGCGGGCGCCTGGAGTCTCAGCCACTTGGGAGGCTGAGGCGAGCCCAAAAGTTTGAGGTTGCTGTGAGCTGTGACGTCACTGCACCTACCAAGGGCGACAGAGAGAGATTCTGTCTCTAAAATAAAATAAAATAATAATATAATAATAATAAAAAAAAAATTATTTAACTTTAATGGAAATCCAATCACATGTTTCTTTCTTTCTTTCTTTTTTTTTTTTTTTTTTAGACAGAATCTCAAGCTATGCCCCTGGGTAGAGTGCCATGGCACACAGCTCACAGCAACCTCCAACTCCTGGGCTCAAGTGAGTCTCCTGCCTCAGCCTCCCAAGTAGCTGGGACTACAGGCGCCCGCCACAACGCCCGGCCATTTTTTTTTGGTTGCAGCCATCATTGTTGTTTGGCGGGCCGGGCTGGGGATTCGAATCCGACACCTTAGGTGTATGTGGCTGGCGCCTTAGCAGCTTGAGCCACAGGCACCGATCCCCAATCACATGTTTCTAAAAAGCAATCTGATGACAAATTAAAACCAAACTGGTCTACTCCTAAAAAATTTGTCTGAAAATGCACGGTAAATCAGACCAAGCTTACAGCTGGCAAGTCCACTTGCCCAAGCAGCTAGCCACCACGGCAGTTTACAAGCGTGTGCTAGCTATTGGCTGCAGGAAAAAGTCCTACCGCTAACTCCTGGCACCAGGGCCCTGTATGACATCAGCTGACACTACAGAGCTGCTGATGTCTGCAAGCTGCCTTTCAACCGCCTAGTGCGTGAGACCTGGCAGGACTTAAGGACATACTCGCTCTTCCAGAGTTTGGTGGTGATGGGGCTTCAGGTGCATGATGCCTATCTAATGAGATAATTTGAGGGCAACAATCTCGGGAACATCCATACCAAGGAAGTGACAATCATGCCCAGGCTATTATTTTCTCTGAACTAGAGAAAGCAATATTCAAGGTTAACTGCTTCCTCAATAAACAAATAAACAAGTGTAATGCCATCCCTTACTTTACCTCCCCTTGTGAAAACAAACAAAAATAAACTTTTAGAAATTGGAGTAAGAAGTACATTCACAGATTTTATAACATAGGATGTTTGAAGAGAGTCTTAATTGGGGGTGTAAAGGTGTGCAAACTATTACTTTAGAAAATTGCATATCAAGTTATCTTACAAACTAGACAGTTGCACTTGGTGAGAAGGTGAGGATGTCTATGAAATGGTTTCCAGTGTTAAAAAAGTACAGGAGGTCATTGTTGTGGACTAAGTATCAGCACTAGTCTCCTGGATCAGATTAAAGATCAAAATGGTAAAGTTCCACATTTACAACACAAACTGATGATTATGTGTACTTCTGCAGAAGTTACAGTCAATTCTCAAACAGGCTAGACTTTCAATGGGAGGGATAATAAGGTTTCCTACATTTTAATCTTTGCACAAAAGTAGACTGAGATAACCTGATGTTAACTAAATTATTATTCTGTTGTTCTGTGTCCTCGCCTTACAAGAAAAGTAGCTTTGACAGAATATACTCTTTTTGCTTATCCTTTCTTCATCCCATCACCATCTATAAAGCCAACCCTTTGGGTCAACTCATGGAACACTTTATGACTTTTTTTTTTTAAACAGAGTCTCACTTTGCCACACATGGTAGAGTGCTTGACATCATAGCTCACGGCAACCTCAAACTCTTAGGCTCAAGCAATTCTCTTGCCTCAGCCTCCCCAGTACCTGGGACTACAGGCACCCCCCACAATGCCCAGATACTTTTAGAGGCGGGCAGGCTCAGGCTGATCTCAAACCTGTGAGGTCAGGCAATCTACCCCCTGGGCCTCCCAAGGGCTAGGATTACAGATGTGAGCCACCGGGCCAGGCCCTATTCTATGACTTCTTTAACTGTGTTGTAATTTTGCTGTTTGAAACTATATATTAATTATTAAAAGGAAAGGTGATTTGCCTCCCAACATATTAATACTTCATTGTTATTTTTTTTTTTATAGTGTTTGGGATCAGGAAACAATAAGCCAAAATAAGACCTTAAAAGCAGCCTCAGAAGCAAACGTTTTTCTTCCCTAACAAGCTGATTCAGAAAGGAAAAAGGAGGGTGGGGAGAGGGCATGCATTTACATTTACCTGGAAATAATTAGGGGAAACCAAATGAAATGAGTTCAAAATGAGCCTGCAACCCTATGAGCAGCCTTCAGCAGCTTAAAAAGCAAATATAGATCAATATTGTTTTCACATGGAGAAAATGGTCTTTCATGTCATTACTTTATGAAAGTTATCAAAGTGTAAATTCAAAATAAAAGAAATCTCAAATATACAATAGGTATAATAAATGTGTTTCTTATGTATACTTCATCAGTAAACCGTAGGAGCCAACGGGAAATTTTCCATTGGCCTTCTGAAGGTTCAGTAAAAAATCTACTTGCAAAGGCAGATTAATTAATAAGAGGAAAAACATAAATTTATTTACTGTGTCTATATTGGAGCCTTCAGAATGAAGACCCAAAAATATAGGAGAAATTGTCCATTTTTTGCTTAGGTTCAACAATGTACGGACAGCCTTGTACAAATATGATTGGACAAAAAGAATATGATCTAATACTAACAGAGTGAGCAGGAAACCCAGCAAGACCCATCTAGATTTTTCCTAGCCTCTCTAAACATGCATTCCTTCCTTTTGGGTACTACAAAGACATCTGTAGAATGGAGGCCTTAAGGATGACCTACATTCAAACACAGTTGGTCAGATATTTTTGTGGCCATTTTTTACACAGAAAGACAAAGATAAAGTTCAGGCAATATATTTAGATTCTATGGCTAGTTTCGGGGAAAAGAAATTTTGTTTTCTTTGATCCACTTTTGGGAAAGGGTATTCTAGTTTGCATTACTAGTGTTAGGGTCGAATAGGACTAAGGGACAGGAGAGCAGAAGGTTAGAGAATTTTGCTTCTGAGAACTTTTTGCCTTTGGGGGGTACTGTTTTCTGAGACCCAACAAAAGGAACTGAAGTTACAAGTTACTTCCCCACTGCAAAATGACACTAGGAATGAAAAGTTCTGGTACACATGTGGGAGCTTTGGGGGAAGGGTAGGTAAGAAAGGAGAGGAATGTAGATTGACCAGGTGTCAGTTGCCCTAACACACAGTTGCAAAAGGTTTTATTAGCTTTATTAATATAGCTGAAATGGAAAAGTGAGCCTGGCATACTATCTGGTGCTCTGCTTTAGTGTGAGTCAGGATTAGGGGCATATCCTTAGGGTAAGGATTATGGGTAGGGTGTTTCCAAGAATTATGGCCTACAGGCACTCCAGGAATCTAGGCAGGAATTGCTGCTTTCAGACCTGGTAGTCTAACATGGCTACCTGTCAGGGTTATGAGAATTCCTTTCCTACATGGAAGTCAGTCTACAGGGCATAGATGGACTTTACTAAAATAAACATCTATGAACAATAAACATCTATGGTCTGCTTTAAATCTTTAGCATAAAATTTACCTTCTGATATTCAAAACACCTTTTTTTTTCTCTCTTTTTTGTTACAGGGTCTAGTTTTGTTGTCCAGGCTAGAGTGCAGTGACATCATCATAGCTGACTACCACCTCAAACTCCTGCACTCCAGCGATCCTCCTGCCTCAGCCTCCCAAGCAGCTGGGACCACAGGCACCAGCCACCACACATGGCTAATTTTTCTATTATTTGCAAAGCCTTGCTCAGGCTCTCTTCTGGCCCTCCAGAAGTGCTAGGATTATAGGTGTCAGCCAGGGAGTTTGGCCCTCAAAACATTTTTTGAGATGTAGAAATTAACATTTTCATTCTAGAGACAAGAAATTTAAATGAAAATGAGAGGAAAAAAATGTCACAAAGTCACAAGTCTTCGGCCTCCTATGATAAGGTGTATAGAATATGAAGGTGACAAGCAATGGGGGCATACTTCTCACGAACAAGGCAGCCCACAGCCTCAGGCTCACAATGCACAATGGATTTCAGTACTTTCCTTGCTCCCTATAAGACCATTTTACCAATATTTCAAACCAATTTACTTTGATTTAAAGGGTACAAAATATTTTTCCTTGAAAAAAAGAGATGGAAAAAAATTGTATGCACATCAGATATGTGTTTTAAATGCATGGCTATGTATAATTTCAATGGAGAGGCCATAAATCCTAGATAATTCAAATTTGCAAAGCAGATGTTAGCTTATAAGGTGCAATTGTTTCAGCTCCATGACTGACAGGAGAACTTTGCTAAATGACCTAAATTACCGCAGGTTGAAGAGGATTGGAGGAATGAACAGGAATTCACAAAGTAGTCTTCCCCCGCACCCCCTCCTGCTCACAGATATCTGAGAGCATTTGAGGGCAGAAATTAACTCGGTTATGAACTCACCCCTCCCACCTCTCCATGCTATACACATTTCAGAACATGTATTAGCACTATATAGGTAAAATTAGATAAATAATAGCCTCAAAGAAAACACAAGATAAAATAGATAAGGAAAACGTTAAAGTAAATTTGGAGAATTACATAGGAAGTAATCAAAACCACTAGTAACACTAGGAAGGAGATTAAACACCACCAAGCCAAGTCCAGTATATACTACATATTTGACATTATGTCACCTCTATAAAACAGAACTTCAAATCTGTAAAACATATAATTATTAGCATTGTATTATAGTATGGATACCATTTTTGAAACAAACCAAGGTACAAGTAATTTAAGCACTGAGCAACTAAATTCCACAAGTATCCACTGTACCGTCCGTTTCACACCTAAATAGTTATCACTTAAGTTTAAAATCATTGGTGCATTTGAAACATCACTATTGAAAGGCTTTATGGGCTAAAACAACAAAAATCTAGAATTCAGCAATACTAGAAACCTTTAGAGTTTTAATACGTTGTCTACCATACACAAACTGTTTCACAAATTCTTTGTTGCCCTCAAAAATTCAAATAAACAACTCACTGCCATAAAAGGTTAAATTGTAAAAAGAGAAAACATGTTTAGAAAATGCACTTGAAATATCTTCCTATTAAAATATTTAACATTCAAAAGTAAGGGCTGTGAAAAGAACATCCAGAGACTTAAGACCCAGAAAATGTTTAGGTGGTGCTGGCATACTTGATGTCTGTACTTTAGTAATAGCTGGTGTACTTGGACAGCTTGTGAGGCCCGCAGAATGGGCACCAACAGACACACAGGCCCCTGAGACTCTCTGGAGGTCATGGTCGAGCACTGAAACAAATTTATATCCATGGCCTTCGATCATGGGCCAATGTCATGTCATGACACTGTACCAGTGTCCTGTGTGAATCTGGTACCAAAGACCAGTGTCACTGTGAATCTGTTTCAGCCTCCTAGAGAATTGCTTACCAATAAGATAGAAAATCCAGACTGCACTCCCTCCCCCACCACACACACACACACACACACACACACACACACACGCCCCTAATTCCTTTATCCCATAATTACAATACTGACGAGAATTCACAAATCTAACCTCTGATTGGACCAAAGTAGGCCATGGATCAAGAGTATGTAAATTAGGAGGTCCCAAACCTGCTTGTTTTTAATTGGTTGAAAAAACACTTTTTAGGGAATCCAATAGGTTGATTTACAATACTATGTTAAAACTGCATTCACTACAACTTAACATTAAACGTCCTTTTTTAATTGTCAAAATAGTTGGGAACTGTTGCGTGTGGACCCGAAAACCAAAGAAGTCCTGTTCTTTCAGTGAGTCTAATTCGAACAGCAGTTCTCTTGGATATCTGACCAATTGTCCGGAATATTTCAGGAATCCCGAGACTCGTAGTAGTATAGAGAAACTGCCTGTTAAAACTCTCTTTGTCGCCATCTTACTCAAGGTTTTACATTGCAATTTTTTGTTTGCTTGTTTTGTTTTGGATGGTTTTTGCCGGTATACTGGGCAGGCATTTTGACTTCAAAATAATAATTATAACAGCAATAATAGTATTAAATTATCAGTTTACGTCAAACTCGATATTGAAGCGCCAGGGATTCTAACATACTAGAAATTTGCTGCTCGTACCCAAAATAAAAAGTAAGATTCGTTACTTTTAAACAGTGTAACGTAGAATACCATGTTTGGTGAACTCGATATGTAAATATAATAAAGCAAGGATTCGTGAGGAAACATTTACACAATGGATTTTTAAATAACTGGATAAATGAGGGGAAAAACATTCGGATCAAAACTGGTCAAGAAGAAAAAAATGGCGGATGTTTCCAAAAGAAATCTTAAAGCACTTTCTGATTCAAACATTGTCTTTTGTATAACCAAACAGGATACATTTCCAAAAATACTAAATTAAACGATTAAAATGTTTATGGGTCATGCTCCAAAGTCTGATGGATTATCAAAGAAACTAATAATTCGGGAAATGATTGTTTAAAAAGAGGGGATTGTCCACTAATTGAAATTACCAATCTAAAATTTACACCGAAAAAAGAAACCAATGGTAAACCGCTCTGAGCACTTCCGGAACCCGACGAACGGAGACTGACAGGAATTGTTCACAATCCAATCAGATTGATGCTGTGCCTGTATAAATAGTGGAGCACGGCACATTTCTTAGTTAGCTTGTTAATCTGTTGAGCTATGGCGCGTACTAAGCAAACTGCTCGCAAATCTACGGGCGGAAAAGCTCCGCGCAAGCAGCTTGCCACCAAGGCTGCCCGCAAGAGCGCGCCGGCAACTGGGGGCGTGAAGAAGCCTCACCGCTATCGGCCAGGCACCGTAGCGTTGCGCGAGATACGCCGCTACCAGAAATCAACTGAGCTGCTTATTCGTAAGCTGCCTTTCCAGCGCCTGGTGCGTGAAATTGCGCAGGATTTCAAAACGGATCTCCGTTTCCAGAGCTCTGCTGTGATGGCGCTGCAGGAAGCATGCGAGGCCTACCTGGTGGGGCTTTTTGAGGACACAAACCTTTGCGCTATCCATGCTAAGCGTGTCACTATCATGCCTAAGGATATCCAGCTTGCACGCCGTATTCGTGGGGAGAGGGCGTAAGTCTTTTTTTCCCCCGAGTACCACCCTCAAATCCAAAGGCTCTTTTCAGAGCCAACCAGTTTCTCTGAAAAAGGCCGTAATGCTTTTTATCTAGTAGGCTCCGGTCTTAGGCTAAGAAATCCATAACCCTTTTTCGAAAAACGTAGCAAAAGGCAAGTGCTTTCTCCACGTTTCCTCAGGGCATCGCCATTTTGCAAGTTTACATAGGTTTTTGACAATAGGATTTTGGCTAAGGTTCATGGGCTGTGTAGTCTTAGGTGTTCTGTCATCCATTTTGAATTTTGCCCGCTATCTTGGCCCTTGATTATCCCATCTACCTTCTGGTTCGGAACAAGCCTTAAAAGCCCTAGGTTTTTACAAGCGTGCATTTTGAACTTCCAACTGATCCAAGGAGCTCTCTCCTCATACTGGCTGGAGCAGGGCCTTCCTAAAGGTTGTCAGATATTAGTGATTTGCTACAACACCTAAGGACCCTTGGAGTCGACAGCTTTTGCACCTTACCCAGGTCTAAACTGCAAGAGCCAAAGCAACAAACAGCAGATGGGATGCATCACAAACTGAAGAAAATGCAGAAATCATGAGCTTTTTTAACTTTACAACTAACATCCTCCAATGAAACTTTTTAGTGTTCCTAAATTTTCTATCCTAATGTCTAAAGTCTCATGAAAGTACCTGACATTTATCGTTAAAACATAAAAATGCTTTGGCAGCTTGAAAGTTCTCTTCCAAGAACTGGTTTTCTTATCCATACAAAACCATATTAGTTTGTTTCTATATCTATACCATATTAAATAGATTATTCACTTACCATGAATTAACAGTTCCCTTTTGATTCCTGGTAAATGAAGGGGAAAGAGAATTCTGTTCTGAAGTTATATAGGCTGTTATTCGGAAATGTAGAATTGGTATTTACTGGTTGGGTTACTATATGCTGCTTTAAAAGGATTTTATGTTTAAATATTTCAGCTAATTTCTTCGTTTTCAAAAGAGGAGTAGCATCTTCAATTGTAATTGAGAGATTTCCATCAATTTTAATTAAAATGTGTCATTTCCCCTGGAATATCACTAAGGAAAGAGTTTAGTCAAGTGACAACAGTGACAAAGCTGTAAATAGGAAGTCCGACGTAGCCATAGTAAGAAGTCTTGGAGATTTTATAGAAGAAATTCTTATTGGAAACCTGTCAGACATAAAGACTAGATGCTGTGAAATGGAGAGTGTGAGTACATCAGAAAAACAATGCTTAACTATTCATAATTAAAATAAATGGAGAATTAGATATTTGTAATGTACCCCCTATGTAATTAGATATTTGTAATGACCCCCTATTATGTTGGATAAAGACATATGTGAATATGGTTTCCCCTATCTGTAGTTTCTTTGAGATTCTAGCACAGTTAAGTGTTTAACCTGTGTTTCTGTCTCCCAGCTGTTGGACTTCAAGACATAAAGACTTGGCACAGAAAGCATCTTATTATATTATTAAATCCAACATCTAGCTTGGTCCTTTGTCCAAAACAAAATAAAAGATTACTGAACAAACAGGAGTTAGCATTTATTGCACTTCTAGTTACAAAATAAAAGATTAGAGCGTATGTAATTTTAATATGTAGTTTTCCCCAAATGGGAAGAAAAATCAACACTTACTGAGTGGTTGCAATAGGCCAGAAGTCATGTATTATTTTATGAAGCTTCCAAAAGTGTGTATCATAGCTTCCAATAAGTGTATATCAAATATACACTTATATTATATCTAATAAATACTTATTATTGTATTAGTATTTAACAGATAAGGAAAATAAAACTAAGAAAGTTTCAGAGATTAGTATCAGAGCCAAACCTGTCCCTATGAGGCATTAGGGATGGCCTCAGCATAATCCTGATCAGTTACTCTTGAAGATTTTATTACCCAGAAAAGCTGTGAAAAAAAAGACTGAGATGTTTATACAGGCACAATCTTAATTTTTTTTTTTTTTTTTTTTGAGACAGAGCCTCCAGCTGTGGCCCTGGGTAGGGTGCTATGGCATCACAGCTCACAGCAACCTCCAACTCCTGGGCTCAAGCGAGTCTTCTGCCCTTGCCTCCCAAGTAGCTGGGACCACGGGCGCCTGCCACAACGCCTGGCTATTTTTTTTTTTTTTGGTTGCAACCATCGCTGTTTGGCTAGCCAGGCTAGATTTGAACCTGCCACCTTAGGTGTATGTGGTTGGTGCCTTAGCCACTTGAGCCACAGGTGCCAAACCTTAATTTTTTTTGTATATGATAAATGAGTAGGTTTAAAAATTTGCAGGGTCCAAGATGATTATGAAGTTCTACATGTGTATCATACTATAATTATTACAGCAAATTGCACAGAATATAAAAATATAACCTTAATATTGACAGTTATTACTCTTTCTGCTTACCAATCAAGTAATAGTCTTGAAGAATTAGATTAAAACATGAAATTTTTTTTTTAATTTTAAAAGGCATACCCTGAAACAGTAATGGTTACTATTAAATTGTGATTTTATTCAGGGAAGATCACAAATCTGACACATTTGCCAGATCACATTTTATGTGTACCTGTTGGTATATTGTTGTACATCCATTTCAGATTTATCTGGTTGCCTGCAAGTACATATAATTTTAATAGCAGTATATAATCTCTGAATGACCAGTAAGCTTTATTTTACAGAAATAACAGCTAAAAATCAAGACAATTCAGAAATCCTATTTTATTATTTCTCCATACCTTCCCGGCCCCATCTGAAAATTTTTACTGCAAAGGTATAAATTTTTTACTACAAACGTGTGTGTATATGTGTTATGTGTGCGTGCGTGTGTGTGTGTGTGTGTGTATATATATATATGTATTTTTTTTTTAAATGTTTGTTTTGTAGTTCCCCCAATACCTTGGAATGGTATAATTCAGAAGGTAAGGAAGATAGCCTGTAAATGAGGCAATGGAGAAAAGGGTCATACAAGGGACAGAGAAATTTAGTATCCTTGGTTTCCTACACAGAAAACAAAATTCACTGAATTAATATCTAGCAGTAATGTAATTCATTTGATAAAATAAAAAAACGTAGTCATTTACACACACAAATGTACACACACACCCCTACAGTACTGGGAAACAAGACAAAGAACAGTTTAGTTAATGAGAAAGGAACAGAAACACTGAAATCTTTCTATTAATAATAAACTGTTAAGGCTCAGCGCCTGTGGCTCAAGTGGCTAAGGCGCCAGCCACAGACACCTAAGGTGTCAGGTTCGAATCCAGCCCGGACAGCCAAACAACAATGACGGCTGCAACAAAAAAGTAGCTGGGCGTTGTGGCGGGCACCTGTGGTCCCAGCTACTTGGGAGACGGAGGCAGGAGACTGCTTGAGCCCAGGAGTTGGAGGTTGCTGTGAGCTGTGAAGCAACGGCACTCTACCCAGGGGGATAGCTTGAGGCTGTCTCAAAAAAATAAATAAATAAATATAAATAAAAATAAACTGTTAAATGGGATGAAAGCACATTACCAGAGATAATTTTTAAATTTAAATTAGTATGTCTGATCTTGTCAGTTGTTTTTAAAAATAAAAAAAAATAGAGAAATTTATTCTTAAAAATAAAACAAGATCGAATTAGAAACATTGGAAATATTCTCATAGCTAGAGTCATAGGTAGAATTCTCAAAGGGATGTGCAGGAGAACAAACTTGTAAAAAGGAAAAGAAAAATCTGAAAGAAAGGAATAGAAAAGTGACTTTGAGTAGTTATTAGTGCCTGTTTCTGACCAGAAGGTATTATGAAAAAAAAAAACTGCAGAATTTTTACTTGAACTAAGGCAATGGGAAACCAGTAACCCATAAGGCATAATTTTTTGTTTTTTTTTTTGCAGAATGACCAGAATTTAGGAATTGAAGACTGGAAAAACTAGGTAAGAAACTGGGTAGGAAGCAGTGGAATCCCTGCAAATGTGAGCAATGAAGAGGGAATGTAAAAAGGGAAAAAATGTCAGATTTACTGAGAGTTCTTTAAAAACCAACATCTGGGATAGTAGAGGACTCCACAAAATACCATGAAAATCAACTTCCTCTAGTTAAAAGGAGCCAGGCAATTAATTACTAAGGAGGAGGAAAGTAGTGACTTCAGGTTAGTCCTAAACATCTATTTTGTTGCAGACCTATGCCATCTGCATAAGTACTCTCTAGCAGCTAAGACAGTATGAAAATGCCCTTCACAACTTCCAGGCTAAGATATCATCAGTCTTCTTTACTCATCCTAAAACATTCATCGTACCCTTATGTAACTGCTACAAAAATTTTGGAAAATAAAGATTTAAACAAGTTTGACTTTCCTTGAAAATGAAGGCCTATCCAAGGCAAAGAAATATTTTATGAATTTATGTAAATGAGAATAAAACTCTAGAAGGCCAATGATTGAATCGTCATCATATTTAATTGCTTTGGTTGTCCAAAAGGCTTGTGAGATGCATAGGTCACAATGGGCCTAAAATTAAAATATATGAACTCTGCTTCTTTCTCAAGAAGCTTAAAAAGAAACTGGAGAACTGTACCCTTTTTTCTATTGTAATAGACAGGGAGGAAGGTAAGAGAATGCTACTAGGATTTAAGAAAACTATTTGAGACCAGGCCCACCATTTCCTGACAGAAAGTGGTCATTTCTGATCATTTCTCTTTTCTAAGCCACACTTATCTTTACTTTAAAGCAAACATTTTAATTATACCAAATGGAAAAGTGTTGTAGTGAGGCCCATCTGGCAGTTACAAAAGTGCTTTGTAAACCTTTAGGAAGTGGAGAAATGTTACAGTTATGTGGAAAGATCTTGTTAAATACTACATTCCCCCATAAATCTCTTACTGTTCATCACTTCTCATCAAAAGCCTTTCAAAAAAAAAAAAAAAAAAGAAGCCTCTCATTCTGGGTCCTAACGACTTAGCACATCTCTTCCCATAGCTAAGGCTCAGAGATGATCTTCAGAAGTAAAAATTTGTCTCTGACCTTCTCCTGCTCTCCAGTCTCTGACCCCACATTCTCCCCAGATTGGTCATAGAAACTAGAATCCCTCTTCCCCAAAGCAGGTCATAGAAACCAGAACCCCATTTCATCAAAGCCAACCACAAATCCTAAAAATGTTACTCTCCCCCTACCTTTCTGTGTAAAAGCTAGACATAAAATTATCAGACTTACTTTATTTGACTGCCATAAGACCCCCATTCCAGAGAGGTTCCTGCCCCAAAACCAGAAGGAAGGAATGTATGCACAGAGGCAAAGAAGAATCTAGACAGAGAAGCCTTTGTCAGTTGATTTTAAACCTTCAGAGGGCAAAGGCAAAGTTTTTGCTCTGACCTACATACCTTACCTTTCCTATTTTAAGGAGCTAAGGAAATTTTACACCAAAAGGTGATTACTTAACATAAAAAATATTTTTAATTAAAGGGTATTCACAATCAGAAAGTATTGGAATGGGCTTTCCCTTTATCTGCATAAAACCAGACTGACCTGATCAGGAGACCAAAGGAACTGATTTCCTTTCTCCTCCCTGAATACTAGCAGACCAGACCCAAATTATTTAAAACACAATACATGTCTCTCAGGTTGATTTACAAGTCAATGTTTCCCCCATATATTCATCATTCCTAGCAATCGCTTCACCCATAGTCCCCCTTCTCCTCCTTCCTTCAAAAAGGCATCTATAAAAGTAAATGACCATGTTTAGGACATTGGGTACTCATTCTTATGGTTCCCTCCAAGTGTGTGGTATTTGGAAATAAACCTTTCTCTTATTTATCTACCTTAACTGTGAGCTGATCTTTTAGTGAACTTTCAAGGGAAAAGGGCAAGTTTCACCATGATCCCTACACACTCAAATAACTCAATTTGTTATTTTCGAAAAGATTTTCATGCGTGGACATTTCACTTCTTTTGTGTACTCACCTCTTCTCAAACAAGCCACTCCCATAAAGACAAAGGGTTTTTTTGCTTTCCCTAGAAAGAAGAAATTGTGGGATGTAGGTGTGGTTCCTAGATACTCACAGGCTACAACTTTTTTCCCCCCTGAATTGTATAAACAGAATGTCAAATTTAAGATAGTGTTACACAATAAGGTAAATGAATAAGAAATAAGATGAAAGGACATTTTAATCATTAGGGACTTAATAATACTTGGTTCTGCTGGAGACCTGCTCAGGAGAGTTCATGACTTGTTTTGTGCCAGGCACTCTGAAGAGTCTATGGAGATCTATAGGTACCTTCTATAAAGGATGCTTAAAAAAAGTAATACATCAAGTATATAGGATAAGGAAAAGTAGTGACATTAGTTATCAATTGTTTTCTGTTAATATTTATACTTTTTATGAACACATCAAATAAGGTCTAGCAGCAGGTGTAATAATGCATGTTTGAAATATTTAGAGTGTGAACTTTATTTCAACATAACATACCTGCAAGTCTAACTGCAAAGTGATATGAAAATGTGATTTGCATTGATGAAAAAGTCACAAGTATTGTGAAATCCAGTGATTAATGGCCTGTACTCACAATTAAAAAAAACATTAAAATTGCATTTAGGGTTTTTGAGAATAAAGATGTAATTCTTTCCCCATCCAGAGCCCCATAAACGTTTGTAGAACGCAAGATATTTTTAAGATATGTCAGTAAACGTGTTTTCACCCAAATAAAAAGACAAAACCTCAGCATCCAGGATAAAATGAAAATGACGAGGCTTCCAGGTCAACCCACCTTCCTCTATGTTCATTTTCTTTCCCAGGCGACCCCAATTTCTGGCTCCATTCAGCATTCTCAAAGATTTTTTTTTTTCCCTGTCCCTTATCTACTCACGGAACAGATCCTAGCTTCCTGGATCCTCTCAATAATCTGTGAGGAAGCAATCTCGGAAAGAGGGTAGATAATAAACTGCCAAAAGGGCCTTTAACATTTTATAATATCCCTTGGGACCAGTGGTTTTATAGCAATAATCACTCAGATTTAAGCATAATGACAACAATCTGTTCTCTAAAAAGATTTCACTGATGGGAGGGTGCAGGCCTTTCGACTGTTCCCAGCACTTACAAATTCTAATGTCCGAACCTCTGATTGGTGCAACATTTTCTCTCGGAAGACCATGCCAATAAATTGAAAAATACGATTGGCCACGCTAACAGCCTCTGCAAACCAACGGGAAAGCAAGTTTTATCCGACTGAGCTACAAAACGTAATGACCCCTTCCTCCCATTGGTCTATTCATAGCATTGCCTATTTTCTAACATGTCTGGGCGCGCGAAGCGAGGACAAACTCGCGCCAAGAAGACCTAGAAGCCTGCCGATGCCCAGTAGGCCCAATCCACCTCCCTCTCCGCACAACTATTCGGAGCGCGCAGACCCGGAGGCGGCAGGTAACGCAGACTGCTACTACCTGCGTAGCTTCTACTGCTACTAGAAGCGCATCCGGCGCCACCTACAGCTGGTCTCCGGTAACCAGCTCAACAAAGCTCCGAGCCGCTTAAGACCACTGAGCCAACAGCGGTTCTACACCAGGGCCAAGCCTCCCATCCTAACATTTTTTTAGGCCACCACCTCTGCACACTACCAGCAAAATCTTTTCAAAGCCAAACCCCTAAGAATTGTAGCTTGTTGTACCTAAAAGCTGTGTGTGCACGCTCCCAGCGTGGTTTAAAATAAGGTGGCCAATCACATCTAACCGGGAATTTAAAAAGAAATCATCGGTTCAGCTCTTTTGACTGAGATCGTGGGTGGCTCTGAAAAGAGCCTTTGAAATTTTAAAGTAGAACATGCCGCCAGTTTCACTTCTTCTTAGCGGCCGTCTTCTTAGCCTTGGTAACTTTAGGCTTAGCAGACTTAGGCTTGGCTGCCTTGGGTTTAGGAGCCTTGGCCTTAGCTGGACTCTTGGCAGCCTTCTTCGGTTTGGCCGCCTTAACTTTCTTCGCACTCTTAGCCACTTTCTTGGCCCCAGCAGCTGCTGCCGGTTTCTTGGCTTTCTTCGGGGTTTTCTTGGCGCTCTTTTTGGGGGTGGCAGAGCTAGTCGCCTTTTTAGGCTTCTTGGCAGCCCCAGCGGGCTTCTTGGGCTTGGTCGCGCCTGCCTTCTTAGCCTTGGGTTTGGCTTCCCCTGAAGCCGCCTTATTTAGTTTGAAAGACCCTGAAGCCCCAGTGCCCTTGGTCTGCAGCAGAGTTCCCTTGCTCACCAAGCTCTTGAGACCCAACTTGATACGGCTGTTGTTTTTCTCCACATCGTAGCCCACAGCTGCAAGCGCCTTCTTGAGAGCGACCAGAGAAACACCGCTGCGCTCCTTGGAAGCGGCCACAGCCTTAGTGATAAGCTCAGACACCGGAGGCCCAGCCGCCTTGCGCTTCGCACCACTTGCGCCCGCTTTCTTCACCTTCTTCTTCACAGGTGTCTTTTCCGCAGGTGTGGGGGCCGCAGGAGCAACTGGAGCAGTTTCCGACATGTTTCTGTTTCACCAGAAAAGCTAAAAGTAACCTGGAACTGTCAGAACAGCGTGTCCTCTGCGCCGGCGGCTGAGCGTTTATATAGAGAGACGCTGAGTGATGATTGGTTGCCTGTTCCATGCGCCACGCTGCTGTAGAAGGGCTTCTCGGCTCTGCAGCGTGGCTGTGTTTGTTGCCCCTTAAAAAAGGATAAAAATATAAGAAACCTGGACTTGAAATAATTAGGTATTTGGGGGAAACTGATCCGAGAGACTTTGGGCTTCATTCCTGCTTCATTTTTTTTACCTAGTTTCAAAACCGGCACCCTGAAACTTTCCTGATTCCCCCAACTCTCTTTCAAACTTTGGTCAAATCGAGACAACTTTCAGGTTTTCTTTAAAAATACTATTTCTCCTTGTTTCGTTTGCAAATCTCTCTTCCAGGGCATTGTTCTGCGCATTCTTATCTTCTCAAATGTATACGAATAAACTCATATTTACTGAAATGAATAGGGAAATTGGTTTTTTTCACAGGAGCAATAGCACAGGCTCTCCTGCTAGCTGTTTGCATCAAGCTCTTAGGAATTGGCACTAGGGTAGAAAGTTCTTTGTAGGAGACGGATCATTATTTTAGAAAAGATAAATTTCTCTTTCAAAAAAGGCATTTGAGCTACCGGTATGTAAGCTATACTTGATCCCCGTGCTTTAGTAATTTGAATATTTTCAGAAAGATGAGACTGAGACCGTTCCGTTTGTCTTTCAGATAAACACTGCTAAATAGAATCACCAACCTTCTCTTAAAAATAAGGATGGTAGATTTTTTAGATTTAGAATGGTCATTAGAGGCCACCCACCACATTTGCAAAACCCCTGAATTATAAAGTTATAGAATGGTGGATCAACATCATTTTACTAATTGTGAGAACTAAGAGCTCTACACAGTTAGAGATTACATGTTCGCTCCTATCCCTTTAAAATTGTCAATAATTTAATGAAAGACATTTTGCTTATAAGATTTTTCCTTCAATATTTAGCATAGGATTTTGTACATATTTCCTATATTTGAAAATTACATTTAAAATACAAATTACAACATTGCAAGAAGAGATGCAGAGGACTACAAAGAAAATTCTCATTCAAGTCACTTTGTGAATTTTCATAATTCTCTCTGTGCTTTTTACTCAAAACACATGAACTACGCTGTCACAACCTAAATTAATTGGCTGAATGTGTTCACCTAAGGAGTTGACCAAACATTGCATAGCATACATAAGTAACTTTATTATTGCATTCCTTTTATTTTACGATACAATGAACTTGATAGTTATCTTATTATTGGATTATTAAGCACAAATGTAATAATCTCCATCAAATAATCAGATATTGAAATTAACCCCTATGTGTGTTAAAATAAGAAAAGTATGTTGGTATTATGTTTCTTCTAATAAAAATAGTCATGTTTCTCATACAGGATTCCTCCACTCAGGAATGGGCAGGGGGACCCCCCACCATTCTCTAGGCCCAAGTGAGCTCAGAAATCCCCATTTCCTGGCACAAACAGGTTGTCTCTTCCAGGCCACGCCCTCTGTCTGGGCTCTAGCAAAGTCAGGAACAAAGCAGCCTGCCTCATTTTGGGTAGTTCCACCATGAGTTGGGAGTATACACCCTAATCCCTTCTCAGGGACAAAAACTATAAGGACCAATAATCTTGCCCTAGTGGAGGAGGGACTGCATTTATTCATTTGTTAATGCACTCATTAACTTTGAAAAGATGATTTTCCACCTACCATTTTAGCCAAGTCCTGGCCAAAATGTAATATATACCCCTAGACAAAAAGCCCAAGAGAGAAATTTCCAACTTAGGTTTTCCCCTTTGCAAGAAGCTCTTGGTAGTTTTGATTCCTTCTGTATTCTTTTCTGTCTAATAAAAATCCTGTCTTTAACCAAAAAAAAAAAAAAAAAATTATGTCTTAAAAAAAAAAATCCTATCTTACCACTAATCTGTGGTCAGTAGGTTCATTCTTCAAATCCCCAATTCCAAGAACGTACTGAGGAAGAAATTCCGGTATCATTTCCAAATGTCTGGTTACCCTGACCTGCACTGAATGGTGATTTAGGGATTTTTTTCATATAAATTCAAAACAAGATAAATAATTTTAAATTTGTCGTCTCCTTCATTCAACAAATTCCACAAAAAAAAATCACTTGGCTCATTTTAAATTAACATTTATTGGCTGGCACAGGGTGGAACCACGTCTCTAGGATTTAAGGATATGCTATATATTAAAAAAATTATATATATGTATTATATATATACTGTGTGTAAAGGAGGCAAACACATAGAATTGCATTAGCAGTATTCAATTATTTATGTGGAGAGACTTTTTACTGGTGTCTTTTAAGAAGAGCCTGCATGTCATCTTTGATACCATCATCAATAGCTATAATCAGAATAATAATATAGGCCCTTTTCTTTGGAGGGGTCCATAGCTTTATATTATGTAGACATAAAAATACAATTAAAATTCAGAGTTTTAAATGTTTACTATTTTGGTCATTATTGTAAAGGAGCTAAGGAAATTTCACTCCAAAATATGACTACTTGTTATAAAGAGTACTTCGAAGATCACTGGAGATCTGAAAGCTTTCGGGAAGGGGTTGTCCCTCTATTTACATAAAAACTGGACTTACTTGATCAAAAGGTCAAAGGGGGCAACTGACTTCCTTTTCTCCTGAATGCTAGCCTACTTGGCCCAGAACATTTAACACTAGGTATCTCTCAAGTTAATTTCCTAGTCAATCTGTTTCCCCTCTAGCAACCACTTACTGCACAAATTCTCCACATCCCCCGCCCCCCGTTCTAAAAGGCAACTATAAAGGTATCCGACCATCAGTGAGACACTGGGTAATGACTCTTATGTGTGTCTCTCCATGCACGTGGTATTTGGCAATAAACATTTCTCTTATTAATCTACCTTAATTGTGAATTAATCTTTCAGTGAAATTTCTGTGGGGCAAGCAAGTTTTTCCTGACCCCTATAATTGCAATTATAACATCCCAGTTGTTGAATAAGTTGTAATTGCTCACCAAGTTAGATTCAATTAGATTTCATCATTTCATTCTGTGTAACTAGCTCCTATGGCTACTTAGGTTGTCAAGATGTACAAAGGCATTGGGGCTAAGGACGCTTTCTTTAATTGAAACTAAATCTGTACCCTTCCTGGAGGACAATAAGTTCACCAACAAACTTCCTCAGATGTTTATAGAAGGAAGAGGCCTTGCTGCATCTCCTGTATTGTAGCTTGAAACCCAAGTGCTTATTTTCTTCAAAATTGTAGCAGGGACAAGGTTCCTGAAAGTTAGATCTCTCCATGGGACAGCAAACTTGCAATCAGGAAAAGTTTCACCTATTTTAAGGTAGCCCTCTAGAAAATTTTTATTGCTTTTGAATCCTAACTGGTGATATAACCTAAAACTATATTGTGCACTACACTAAGGAACGAAGCATTTATTTTATGCACATAAAAAATAGCTAAGAAAAACAAGATAAGTGACAGCTAATTTATGGCTTTGTGTTCTTTCAATTCACAACCACCACCAGGGTAAATGAATTTGACACTATAGTCAAATAGGTCAATCCACAAGGACTATGCTTAATCATTCCATAATTCAGTGAATTTCACAGTTGTCAAAAGAAAGGTAACAATGTAGAATAAATAACAAAAAGCAAAGGAAACATGGACTATACATAAAATAGATCTTTGTATTGTGTACAGAAGGAACATGAGAAATCATAACTATTTTAACTTTCTATCACATGGGTCCCTAGAAACTCACCTCCAAGTGCAACTATGGTAAATTAATTTTATTTCCTAAAAACATCCTTTTTTTCCTCCTATTTATTTTTATATGCCTTTTTCTCTATAATATCTGGCACACCCAGAAGTTTTTGAAGTATAATAGCTTCTATTACACTTGAAAAACAAATAAAAACAAATCCGCACTTCCTGCATTCTCAGGCATCCACACTTCTTTCCCCTTCCCTTCTACTCTGAATTACAAACTCCTCGGAAGAAATTTGTATCATAGCACAGCCCAATAAAACTTTCTGCAGTGATGAAAATAGATCTATACTATGCAATAACTAGCCACTACCCACGTGTGACTATTACCCATTTAATATGACTAGAGTGGCTGAAGAACTTAATTTTTAATTTTAATTAACTTAAAATTAGATGAGTGCATGTTGCTAGTGGCTAATATAGGACAACATAGCTTTAAAACAAGTTTTTTCATATTTGGATGATCACTCCACCCACTTGAAGATGCCATTAAAAATGCAATATCAATTCACTAGATCTAGAGTAGAGCTCAAAATTCTGTATGCCTAACAAACTTCTGGGTGATGCTCCACCCATCGACTGGAATACCCTGGGCTGATGTCTGACCCTTCAACCTGAGTTTACTTTTCCTTTAACTAGATTTTGACCTCTTTAAAAGAACAAATGTGATTATCTTTCACATAATACCAAGTAAACCTATATTTGTATACCAATCTCGGCTTGTAGTCGACCCTAACTTGTTGCATGAATGATGCTTGTTTGGTGCCTTTATCAAAAAGGACCATATAGGAAACCCATGTCTCTACACCTGCAAGTAACTGAATCTAAACTACATTCGAAGTAGATTCTGACTCCAAGAAATGAATAATCTTGCTACCTACAAGGTTAGCACCAAGAGAGAAGAGATTTTTAAAAATTATCAGTGTAATACATAAAAGGCACCAAATGTGGCTGTTCAGCCACAAACATCATGTGTGTTTTCTAAAATTTGTATTCTAAATTTTTTCAACCTAAGGTCTCTGTGTAGAACCTTAATTCAGAGACTCTTTTTATTAGAACACTATTTTATAGAATTTACTAGTGTTACTTTTGTTAATTTACAAAGATTTAGTCCCCATAACGGACTGCTGATTCTTAACTGGCATTGAAGCAGCCGCAGACTGCAAAGTCATAAGACTCCCCAGTCAAGCCCTGCAATAACATTTTTAGAAGATAATTAGGTCTTCAAGCCAGAAATTCCTTATATTAACACTGCACATAGTGCTTTATAAACTGGAACACAAAGAATGTAAATCAGTATCGGAGCCCCTTCCTAGAGCTCCCTGATTATCAGGAATGATGAAAACAAGTATGTACCTACACTTGTTCAAACACGGTTCATGATTGGCCAAATTTAATAAATGAATAATGGTAGATTGTAAGAATTAAGAATAATATATCCTTCTAAAAAAACTCCACATTTAAAAATTAATTTTAGGCCAGGCTGAGTGGCTCATGCCTGTAATCCCAGCCCTCTATGAGGCCCAAATATGTGGGTACCTTGAGCTTACGGGTTTGAGACCAGCGTGAGCAAAAAGCGACACCCCCATCCCTACTAAGAATAGAAAAACTGAGGCAAAAAAAAAAATCTCTTAAGCCCAAGAGTTGGAGGTTGCTGTGAGCTATGATGCCACAAGCACTGTAGCCAGGGTGACAGCTTGAGACTCTGTCTCAAAAAAGACCAAAAAATAAAGAAAAAAAGGGCGGCACCTGTGGCTCAAAGGAGAAGGGGTCTGGTCCCATATGCCCGAGGTGGCAGGTTCAAACCCAGCCCCGGCCAAAAACTACCAAAAAAAAAACCAATCTTAAATTTGTGTAGTGGCAGTATTGTAGCCAGTGAGGTTTATCTAAGGCTCCATCATGCTAATTGTAACCTTTCCCCCAATGACTTGAAATAAAATCAGCATTGACAATTTTTGACAGTCTATGGAGACTGAACATAAATAAGTAAATAATTAAGTAAATACTTTTAAAGATAACAATTGCTTTTATTCAGGTATATCTCCGTTTTGTAGACAAGTGCAGCTTTATTGCCTCAATTTCACAAATAAAACTAGTTAGACTTGTACAACGTTCTCTGAGACAACTCACAGATACTGGATAAAAAACAAGAAACCAGGGACTCTAGAACACAGATCAGGAAACAGAAATGAGTCAGACACAAAGCTGTATTTCCTCTCCCCTCAACGTCTTTCTTTTCCTAAGTGATGGTAGGAGGTGTCCAATAAGATAGGCGGGGACAGGGGCGTTTCCGCGCTACCGTAGCAGTTTTCAAAAAGGTCCGCATAATCACTATATAAGGAGCTGCAGGGCGCTGATTTGCTCTCACGCTACGATTTCTGCTTTGTGCTCGGTATGTCTGGCCGAGGGAAAGGTGGGAAGGGCCTGGGTAAAGGGGGCGCTAAACGCCATCGTAAGGTCTTGCGGGACAATATCCAGGGTATTACTAAGCCTGCCATTCGTCGCCTTGCTCGTCGTGGGGGTGTCAAGCGCATTTCCGGCCTTATCTACGAGGAGACTCGGGGCGTGTTGAAAGTGTTTCTTGAAAACGTGATTCGGGATGCTGTCACCTACACTGAGCACGCCAAGCGCAAGACGGTCACAGCTATGGATGTTGTCTACGCGCTCAAACGTCAAGGTCGCACCCTGTACGGTTTCGGTGGCTAATTCTCCCCCTTCCGGTTTCCTGCATTTTTAAATAAAGAATTTGCAAAAGGGCCCTTTTCAGGGCCACCTACTTTGTCATACGAAAGGCTGTCATCGAAAAATTTTGAGATAATCCATGCTTGTTTTTGTTAGTACTAAACGGGTACGGACAAGTTAAACTTGACGTAGCACGTATTATATGACTTTCAAATCACCTTGCGTGATGTAGGCAAATTGCAGTGAAAAACTTTAGTGTCTGTGAACACTAGGACTAGTAATACCGACTCGTGGTTCTAGGCAGGGCTTCTGAGGTTAACACTATGTGCTTCGCTGGAACTAACTGAAAAGTTCTATCTTTTCAGTCCCCAAATTTTATGATCTGATCATATATTTGGTATACATGTCTTCCCATCATTGGTCTTGCTGTGCCATGACCTTTGCATTTTTACAGCAGGCTGGTGAGGTAGTGTCACCTGTGTTGTAGATCTTCCTTTTTGAGGACTTTCACAGAAGCCCAAAGGTGAAAGTATTCAGTTTCCCAGCTTGACACTACAGTCTGTTGTCTTAGGATAATTATTGGTCTTCATTATACTATTAAAAACTCTTAAGAATAAACATTTGGTAACACTGACTACAGTTTTAAGTTTTGTTGTTCCTGTCTGGTTCCTTTTTCTTAAGATGTAAATCAAATACTTCCATCAATTACTAGATCCTTAATATTTTATCAAACCTCTGACTTAGATACTCTGAAGTCACTATTCGTCACCTTTTCCATGACTACATGACTTCTACACCAACTACTCAACTAAAAATGTCCCTACCATGATTACCAGTGAAGAAATGCGACATCCAAAAATACATGTAAAAAACTTGCATTTGAGTCTGTTTATTTCTAACTTCACTTCATGGTTTTGTAATGCCTTTTTCCTGGCCCAGATCCTATCCTCCTGATTCTTAGTTTGCTTTTTCTGGATTCTGTTCTTGGTTTTGATTCTTCCCAATGAATTCTTTTTTGTACTCATCACTTTATAGATGGTCTCCAAGTCATCTCTTACCAAGTGTGCCATACAGAGACATCTCCAGGCACTCATAAGCATTCCAACCCTATTATCAGTGCCCTACAATGACCTTACAGATTCCTTACAGGCCACCTGCATTCTTCCTACCTTATAATTAGATAATACCATTGCAATGAGGAATTTGAGTAACTTGCAAATTTTGTCATCCCATCTTTGCAAAAATAAAAAGCCTTCTCATTCTAATATTTTCAGAATAATACTCCGTTTCTGTGCTTTATCCGATACCTGATCACCTCCACAACTTCACCTCCAAGCCTCCCTCCCCAATCACAGTTTTCTACAGCTTAACATAGTAAACAACTTCTTGTCCTTGGAATATGAACCATATTGTGTAATAGGTAAAAATACTGAGTAAAAAAATTTTACTTTCAAGTATATCTTATTTTGTTTTATTTTTACTATGGAACTTGAAGGACAAAAAGTTTGAAAAATTCCAGTTTATTTATTTCCTTAATAAAGTTGTAAAAGTTTCAAGTTAGAGCATTGTCTCATTTACTTGAGTTTCAGAACTTAAAGATTTACCCTCCTTTGCAGCTAGAATGCAAACAAGTATGTGGCATGGATTTCACCAGTCAGACACACATTTAAGACTTCTCTTCAGAATTGGAAGACAAAACAGACTCTGTTTAAAACTTGTACTTCTGCTGGGATAGGAGAGGTCAGATGGGCCAATTTTTTTACAAGCCATGATTTTTAGGTCAGTTAAGTTCTGGTTTAGCAGGGGTAGTTGTGACACAATACCATGCCAGTCCTGCAGCACTGTTTTGGAATTTGTGACTGGAAGTATCTTTTGGCATGGTTCTACAGCCATTCTAAGAATGCTGCTTCCTATTCAGCAGGTCTTTAAACATTCTATCTTATTTATTTATTGTAGACAGTCTAGTCACCTGACTCATACTAATGGGTTTAAGCAATCCTCTTGCCTCAGCTTCCTGAGTAGCTGGGACTACAGAGTGGACTACAGGGTGCCTGTTACAATACCCAGGTAATTTTTTTTAATTTTTTTGTTTGTAGAGACAGAGTCTCACTTTGTTGCCCTTGGTAGAGTGCCGTGCCATCACACAGCTCACAGCAACCCCCAACTCCTGGGTTAGGCGATTCCCTTGCCTCAGCCTCCCAAGTAGCTGGGACTACAGGTGCCAGCCACAATGCCTGTCTATTTTTGTTGTTGTTGTTGTTGCAGTTCGTTGGGGCTGGGTTTGAACCTGCCACCTTCTTCGGTATATAGGGCCGGCGCCCAGCCCCCTGAGCCACAGGCACTGCCCGACTTTTTCTAATCTTAATAGAGGCAGAATCTTACTATGTTGCTCAGGATAATCTCCAATTCCTGAGCTCAAACAATCCACCCAGTTTGGCCTCCCACAGTGCTAGGATTACAGGCATGAGCCACTGTACCCTGCCAAACATCCCTTTTAATGTATGATTAATTAGGGTCAGCTGGCAACTAAGAATTTAATGTGTACCAAAAAGATCTTAACTATTTTCTGGCAGAGTTTTATGTATTTTGGAGTTTGTTGCATAACAATGATGTTAAAAGGCCTTACTCCTTATTATAGTCGTGATAGACTATAATTCACTCCCACCCCATGTCCAAGCTCTAATCTACTGAACCTGTTAATGTATTTTCTTAAATCATGTAAGAAATTGTCCAAATATCATTAAATTAAAGTAAAGCTTTGGAGATTAGGACATGATTCTAGATTACATGAGTGGGCCCAGTGTTATCACAAGGACAATTATAAGTAGAAGGCAGGACAATCAGTCAAAGAAAAGTGAGGAGGGAAGCAGAGATTATAATGCACTTTGGAAAGAGAGGAAGAGGCCACACTGGCACTCTTTCTGTTTCTGAGACACACAAAGCTTTTCTTACCTTTTCCTCTTGCAGGTCCACCACCCTGGAACATATTTGACCTGACTCCCTATCTAAGATTCCAGGTTATTTGACTTATCACAAAACCAGTACATGCTAGAGTTCTGATTTTAAGCCAGTCATTCTTGGCTCCAGTCTGTTGTTTAAACATTATATCATACTTTACAAGGGCACAAAAAATTATGGAACCTGTAGGAAAGTTGTTTGAATGAGTAGGGCTGAAAGATCCCAAAAGGTAAAAAAAAGCCTGGCTTTTATAGAAAAAAAAAAAAAAAGAAAAAATGCATATCCTAGAAAAGAGTTTAAAGTTATAGATTAACTTTTGCATTAAAATCTATTTTCTGAAAAGCTAGCCATAAAACCTAAAATTATTCTATCTTTGTAAAACTTATTGGCCATAGGAAATTATCTGACCTACATTATCTGCCATAAGACTGCCATTCCAGAAAGTCCTCCCCACATCCAGAAGGAAGGGATAGGACGCTTGCTCAGAGGCCAAGAAGAAGCTGGAGAGGCCTTGCTGGGTTCTCCTTCTCAGTCTATTAGCACTAGATCATAAACTTTTTGTCCCATAATATTTCTACATGCCTGTACATACTTTATTGAACACAAGCATACAAAAAGAAAATCTCCCATGTATCTTTTGGGTCGTTCTGTAGGTTCACGTCAGCATATTCAATAAATTTGTATGATTTTTCTCCTATTTAATATATCTGCCTCATGTCAATGATTTCTCGGCAAACCTTTAGGGGTCCTAGGGTTTGGTACCTACAGTCTCTACCTTCTGATTGGGTTCAACAAAGGAAATCCCCTGCAGGATACTGGAGGTAAAGAGGAAAACGAGTTAAGGTATTTATCACCCACTTTCCCTTCCAGATACCACTATAAATTGCCTGCATCCTTCTCTCAAAAACACAACTCATGTTAGGGATCCCCCTCTATGCAGATCTATCTGCCCTTTCAGATTAATAAGTGATCCTTACTAGGCCTGGAAAAAGATACTATTTCTTGAGGTTTTGCTTTGCACTTGCAAATTAAGATATTTTCCTGTTGTCCGATATAAACGGGCTGTTTCCTGACTTAATCTTAACTGAACCCAAGGTGGTCACACTACAAATTAAATACCGTTTCCAAAAGAATTGTTGTAATTAGAATACAAATCTATGTCACACCTCATTAACGTTTCCCACAGCATAAGGTTGAGTTTCCCAATTTACAAGAGTGCCACCTCACTCATTAAAGCATTAAAATATTTGACTTACCCTTGTCTTCACATTGGTGCCCGCCCTACCCCCCCC